TCACTTATCAGAAACAGAGAAATTAGGTCATGGTCATTCGCTCCCGCCTCTAGAGAGAAAAATCATTCCTCTTCGAAATCAGTCGACACCAGCAGCTGCGCGGAGAGTCAAGCGCCACAGGTCTCGATGGATGGTGGATACATCCGTCTACACATACGCGTATATGTACACGCAAAACATTCGAATCCTTTCCCACGCCTCCACTCAAACCATGTGGACCTGAAAATCTTGGGGGGGGCCATGGCCCCTTGGCCCCCCCCTCGCGCACGCCACTGCCTGATGGAAGCCACAAGGGATCCCCAGAGTGAAAACCTGACCGGAACCCCCACAGGGGCTTCGTAATCCGCACGATCCCTCCCGGGAGCGGCTGCCTCCCGTTCGAGTTGCGTCCTTCGCATCGTGAAGTGAAACTCGCTGACATTGGGTACATTCATATCGGAGATTCGCACACGGAGTCCGAGGTGTGCTCAGCGAAGGCCGACCGCGTGTCTTCCATCCCGTCATGCGGTCTCTGCGAATACAATCGGCGAACTCGCCAATGAGAATTCGTTGGGTGCCACTGGAAGAACACAGAACAATCATTAGCGTATTCTCACGACTCCACCCTGAATGGGAGCGGCTTCCTGACGGCGTGGCGGCCGAACTCAGAGGCGAGACGGGATTTCCAAGAATGGCTCGCAGAAAAAAACGTTCAAGCCCTTCTAACGGAATTCCCGAACCCCGCTTCCAACAAGTGATTGTCTGCTGGAAGTCGTCCAGATGAAGTCGCGGACGAGTCCGATACTCATTGTATCTCACTGCAATTCAGATTGAATTTCGTTTGAGTTTCTCATATTCCACAGGAGCGTCACCGCCTGACGAGATCGACTGGCCGCGTCCCTCAAACATTCGGGGTCCCCAATATGTAGCTCTGTCGTCGTGCAAATTGACACATAGTTTCTAGCTGGGAGAAAGATCAAAAGCCAGCTCCAAGGAGTCTGAGGGCCCCAGTTGGTGGATATTGAGGAGCTCACGAAATTCGATTCGCTCGGTATTGGCGGTCCACCAGGTTTCTCCACGAGGTCCCATCTATCACGGAAGGGCGAACGATTTATTGAGATTCTCTGCCAGAAGAGTTCTGATTCGCGGCTGGGAAACATATGAAGGACAAGCAGTCGCCGAAAGCTGGAACCGGAGGCACCCAGAGCGGGAGGCGGGTGGAACATGACCAGCGATCGACGAGCTGTCTAGAGTTGTACAGATTTATTCCATCCGCCTGGACCTCAAAGAACGCGTCGTCAGCGACGGGGACGAATTCATCTCGGTGTATTCGAGTCTCCGACATATGTATCTCGAGTTTGCAGATCGATATCAACACGGGAAGCCCGACGACGTGAGTGGTGATTCTCCGCGAGATTTTTCTCGGTACGCTTTCGCGATATGCATCAGGCCCTCCCTCAAGCTCGCATCGGTTTTGTCAGAGACGTTCGTTGTCACTCGTTCATGGAGGTCAAGTGTCACCTGTGCGGTTCCGGCGGTGAAGAAATACGCATTCCATACCCATAATATGAAGAACTGATATGGTTGAGTTGGCTGACTATAGGCGGACTTCCGTCGTGGAACGTGCACTGGCTTGGTTTCAATCCGCAGTCGTTTCTCGAAAGCATTCCGGGTATGAGAGCCAAAAGTAAATCGTTCGTTCGTCTCCCCTAGTATGAGACATCGATCAATGGAATCGTTCCGTCTATTCCATGAGCTCCTCGCCGGGCCCCATGAGGATGAACCGAGAGGGCAACTTCCTCTCAGCCGGCGTCCAATTGGAAATTCGGAGGCAAAAATCACGGGAAATCAGAAGTTTCGATCGAAATCTATCGCGGACACTATTGATCGCTGTCAGTGATCGATTCGCAGCTTCGGATGAGTAAAAATGTCTCGTGAACTTCCAGAGAGCAAGGTCAACTGACGAAGGTGAAGTGGGTGAAGCGACAGCGGCAGCTCCGCTTGTTTCCATCCGCTGCCGGCTTCTGTGACTGTCAACCCAAGATCACACGTTTGCGCCACAGAATGCGATTCCCAAGTTCAGAAGGAGTCAATAAATAAAATACTACGCACATGAGGTCTGCTTGTATCATGACGGCATGAATCGTTGCGAGTTTAAAAATAACCCAACTTTTGCTGATAAAGTCTCGCTTACGCTACCGATAGACGAACGGAGAAGAGAGAATGCGGATCGCACAGTTATATGCGGTTATGGAGCGATTACAGAATAATGAGGTAATCCTTGAACGCTAATCGGGTGAAATTCTGTAAGATCCTGGCTTCTAGTAATCAAGCTTCACCAATGTGCATCTCAAAGAGATCAAATCCTCTCGTTTCAGCGGAATGGAAGTCTTCGTCCGCCCTCGACGCCGGGACAATAAGAGTCGGTCATTGCAGATATCGGAAGATTCACATGGGCTAATTGTGAGCCGATTTCATATACGAATTCACATCATCGTTCACGGGATCTGGGGACGATCGAGAGGAATGTTGTTCACCGCAATCCGAGGCTCTAGCTCGATGTCGAGAATTGAAAATCCTCCGATTATATCTGCTTCGCAGCTTGGCTCCTGTGATATTTGATTGAGTTCCGTCCTCTCCCTAGCGCCCGCTTGCGTCCAAACCGAACCTCGAGTGGTCCATGGCCCGGAATAAGCGCATAATTTTTTTTGCTCCATGGCAGCTCGGGAATGGGAGTGATTCGCTGTCACCATGGTGCCTGGGACTCGCGAGTCCGGAACCCAGGCAGTCGGCGGATGGACAGAGGCCCACAGCGCCACCTCGCGACTAGCTCCGATCGTTCCCAAGCACAGGAGGCGAAGGGAGCGAGAGCGCGCGTGCTGCTTCAACACAACCTCCTCCCAGTTGATGCATCTTTGGATTTTCACTGCCAAAAGTGAGTTGATCTTTCAATTATTGTTCTTGAAGCGCTGCGACATCCGAAATTTGTTTACGGGCCGAGTCCCGAGACAGCCACCAGCTGAGCCTCGAAGAAGCCCCCTAAGTTCAGGACTAGATCGAAAGCGATTCAGTGGGAATTCGAACGGAGTGGGGTCCGTCGAACCGTGTACACGCGACGCCGACGTTAGCACCTGGTCTTGAAGCCTCCCTCGTGCTACGAGGAGGGATCTGAGGAGAAGATTACTACTATTGCACAATCTATTCGGAATTTTGATAGATCATAGATCTCCCGGCGAGTAATGGATGTTCAGATAGATGGGTTATCATAATACTCTGATCCGATTCCAGGTTGAAATGCGGAGGTTAGCATTCTGTTTACTGCTCATCGGGTGCGCTCATGCCGTCAAGATCGGTCAGTACATTCCGCTAATAATACTCTCGATTATCTATTATCTCGACCACATATATCAGGAGAGCGACTAGAGGGAGCTCCCTCGAAGGAAGAGCCCAAATGAAAATCGGAGATCCGAGCAAGCGGGGATCGCATAGAGCTATTATGAGTTCAAATCAGCGAGGAACGTCCAGGGCTTGGAGTCGCCCTCTGCCTCGATATGGGTTTCGATACAACAAATCGTCACCCAATGCTTTCAACTCCACCCACAGGCGTGATTCTGCCACCCAAAGCTCAGCCCGTGCAACGAATCTTCGAAGGGGTCGTCTCACCCTTCAATGGATCGCGCCCCTCACCTGACGGAGACTTCAAAGTGGGTTCCTTCTTCGCCGAAGTAGCGAACAACGACGTTTTCTCAGTGACACGAGAATGTAAGCAGATCATACCTCCACTGTGAGGAAAACCTAGCAACGTCCACGACTTCTGCGAACCCCGGGTTCCGGAAATTTCTCGGGGACGAATTATTCATTTCCATTTTTGCAATTCAGTGTGCACTCAGCTCCGTCATCAAGTGACCAGCGTGGTCGTTTCATCACCGCTCACTTCAAGAGTGCTGCAAGGACTTTTCAAGAATACCAATGTCAACTACCTCACAACCTCCTATCAGGTATCTTTACGGAAAATCGTTGCGTCATTCTCACCCTCATGAAAAATATTCGAATCGGAAGCAGTCGACATGACGTAACGATGAGGATCTCTCTCAGGATCACTGCCGCTCAGATCTGGTTTCGACGGCCAGGAGGTACACTCCGCCCTCTGACAAGCTGAGCCTCTCTCTGATGCCGGATGTCATACCGGCGATCGCAGACACCATCGACCATTTCCAATGGTCGTCTTTCATCTTCCTGTACGACTCTGACTCCGGTAAGTTTGAACGAGCCGAAATTCGATGAGCTCACGTTGACGAGCTGGGAGCCGGCGATTCTGACGTGATTTCCACTGCGGCAGGCACTCAGAAATGGCAGCGACTCCTTTCGTACAAGTACAAGACGGGCCCCGTGACAATGCGGTACGCCAAGCGTGTCAGTGTTGCTAAAGAAGCGAACGATTTCCTGAAAGCCGTCGATCATGCTGATCGAGACTCGAATAAATACGTTGTCCTGGACGTCCCCTTCGAGAAGGCGAAGGAGATCATCACACAGCACGCACGAGACTCGCATGTCGGGAAGCGGAACTTCCATTTCCTTCTGGCCCAGCCGGTAGTGAACGAGCTCACCCAGCAAAGTGTTCCCGAATTCTCCATCGTCAACATCACCGTTCTCAAGTACGTAACAGTTGCTCCTCGACCGTGCATACTTCGAGGCCGTGCCTACATACATGTATATATCGGAGTCGAGCGTATATTCTCCGTTCGATTATATACAAGAGACCCAGCTCCGAAGACACACTGCCTGGAGCCGTGTGCTTCACTGGTCTGGCAGCTGAAGACAGAAATTATCTCATTCTAGGCTGACCGGGCTCGGAGACGCTTTCCGTGGATTTTTCGACAGACTCGGACGCGGTGGAGAGCAGTCCCAATGGGCCGACATCACCGAAGAAAAACTCACCGTCGAGCAAGCTCTGATCCACGATGCCGGTCAAGTGATCGTGTCGACCTACAAGGAATTGAAAAGTAACGGACAAATACCACGCAAGTAAGTAGTCAGCTTCTATGTCGTGGTTGTACGGGCCCAGTGCTATCCGATCCCCACGTTAAACACGGTGATGAATATCGATATGGTGCGACGACGAGGATAGACGGACAGAGATAACTGGTCTGATGATACAGCCGGGTGCGAAACGGTATGGCACCGGTCGTTATGACGATTCAGTTATTGCTCAATTTCTACTGACCGATCCGGTCTGCCCGAAGTCAGAAACGATCGGACAAACCTGTTTCCGAGCTTATGAGAGCCGAAACGACCGGAGACTGCATCGCACAATCATGGTCGGATTGACTCCGATCAGAGCGAGCGCACTATGTCTGAGGTCTGAGCGGTCTCGTGACAGCGCAAATCAACAGATTGAGGCACTCCTCGCGGAAGATTTCTCCGTGAGGCATTTGGAGGACCACGATTCACAGGATTTTCTGACTCTTCAGGCACTCGGAAATCTTCGAAGCTTTCCTCCGTATCGACAATCCGCCTACGGAAGTTGCGACCTGCGATGTGGACAAGATTAGCGCTGCGCTCGAACTCGGAGACGTGATCGGGAGACACATGAAGCAGGTTAGTGAACTGGAATCTCTTGCGAAGTCGGAAGCTTCCCTTTGCCGTAGTTCAGACCCAAGGCCGGACTAATTCCGCACCGGCGCGGCGCCATGAAAACTCAGGAGAACAGATCCGTCGCTTGGAGCTGCCGCCGATTGTAGCTGGGGTCCTCGTAATCCAGTGCTTCCAGGAATAGCTCCAATGGTGGTCCCGGTGGGCTTGCGTTCTCCCAGGCGGCGGACGATTCGAGATTCCGTTCTCAAATCCAAGTCGATCTCTATCTTCGAACGTTATTCCGTAATAGTACTCGAACTGATACTTCTGCGAGCGTCACCCCCTAGCTCCTGAAAAAAGCCCCCTCTGGATCTCGATGAGATTATTGGCTCGTGGAACGGAAAGTGAAGGAGTCCCTCTGAAAGATCCCCTCGTTAAGTATCGCAGCCGCGGATGTTAGACGTCAGACCGGACAACTGGGCAGACCGGTCAGGGAAGCAACTAGGGATCGGGTTCCGGCCAGGAGTCCCGATTGATGCTCCGGACACGATGGGCCTGAAAGGCGTCCACTAAGTTCCGTACATTGAGCTAGTTCCAGGTCGTATTCTTTGCGTACTCAGGAAGAAGGAGGCTTAGCCCAGTGTTTAATCGGCAGGGGAACCGTACCCTTTCCGTATATCATGCCTGACACCTTGTCGCAATCGAACGCAGGCGACTCATTCGCCTCTCGGCATTCGACCGACGTTTGAATGGAATGGCGATCAATCTAGCAGCGCCACACGGGGAAATGAGCTCGAGCATCAAATGCTCATGGAAATTCCCCCTCGTGACTATGAAAGCTATCTACGCACCACGGCGCGGCGTTTATTCCAGAGCGAGTCCGAACATAACGGTATAGAATGTTGACGAAGGGTGACGCACCACAGTGGTCTCTCTCAGCTCGGAAATTTGCCTCGAATGGATACCATGTCAGGTGCCGAGCGCTGCCGCTAATCCGTGTTTCGAAAGCCGTCGACGACCACAAGCGGCTCCTGAATGTCCGAGTCGGCAAAAGAGAGCTCTGGGAAAAGCTCGATTCGGAGTATTCGCCTCCGACCACACGGAGGAGACGAAACTCCGGGTCTTTCCAGACGTTTAATAGGTATATTCCTCCGGAAATGAATCTCGGAGCGAAGAAAGGTAGTACATATTCTTATCATGGGTAAAATAGAAGCTGATCAACCCTATGAGAGAGCCACGCCTTCCATGGGTAAACAAAGCAACGTGACGGACGCGTGTGCGGCGAGCCCTGAGTCAAGTTTGAGCGTGAGTTTGTGAGTGTGGGCTCGTTCGTTCGTGGCCGTCGTATAGCTGGCTGGATGGCTGGTCGGCTGGCTGGGTGTCTGACAGGCGGGCAGGCTCGGCTTCAGGCTACGTGCCGCCGACCGAGTCCCTTCCCTCGGTGGATTGTGGCCCTTTCTCCGACGGTTGGCTCTGAGATGCGCGCGCAATGGAAAAATTCCACAAGCCAGTGGAAGGTTCCCACGAGTTTGACTGGCTCATTCAGTCTCTGAACTTTGCCTAGCGCGGGCAAAGAGCTCTCGGCTTGAGCCTCGTCGACGAAAAGGACTTGACCGGTGAAAAGCGTCACGTGTTGTTTCCTTCTGAGACGGTGTGTTGACGGTTCTGCGAGTGAGCAAAGAAGGAATCTCTTCGAGCTGAACAAACACCATCCGGCTCATGATTCTCGGAAGAAAGAAACATTTGACTTCGGTTCACTAGACCAGTGGAGTGCGGCGGGCCTCAGAGCAAGCATACGGTCAGCAGGAGTAGCTCCGAGTGAATTTAAATCGCTTGTGTCGACACCAATAAAATTCCACTGTCGCCGAGCCACCGAAGACCAGCCAGAATATGGCGTTCATGATGCCCGTGATGAGGAACAACTTCGACATCTACCAGCCGCCTGCGAGTGGAGGTTCATCGCAGCCGCGCTCAAGGAAAACTTCCCAGTGTTCGAACAAGTCTCGGGTTATGTCGCCGGGCGGGAACTCGGGACCGACTTCGCTGTCTTCGTCGCCCGGAAGCGATCTTGATGAGCGGCTCAGAGCCGTGGTGAGCAATGGAGAACTCCAGCAGCAAGCTCAACAGAGCCAAAGGATCAGGAGGATATCGCGTTGTTCAGAGCACGGCACTTCCGCCACCACGGCCAACGTTGTGCCGCAATCGGCATCCACAGGCTCTCTGAACAAATTCCACTCGAAGCTCGTCGATAAATTACGACGCGCCCTTAGGAGCAAGGACGACTCCTCGTTGAAACCTGCTCCGAGGAGCTCGTGATGGTCACCGAATATCCGAAACTGCTGCCTGGTTCATTAGGGTCGGAGGTTGCCGACGATCGTTTCCAGGCACGAATAGTGAAATTCCAGTGCCAACTTCGCTTGAAGGGGTCGCATAGGGCGAAACGTCATGGAGGAGACCACGCCAAGGATCTGGCAGGCGTTGAACGCAGAATGGCTTTGTCTCCGATGCCCGAAGGGAGGACGCATCGCCTCCACCGATCTCTTTACCGACAAAGAAACAAATTATGGTAGAAACCTATACATCTAGCTACTCCGACGTACAGACTGTTTCCCGCAGGAGGCAGGATTGCGTGATCCTTTCTCGAAGCACAGGATGAACGTACCTCCGGCTCTTTTGCCGCGGTATACACAATTTGATGATGAGTATTCGTTGGGTCACACCAAATGCTGTATCCGACTTCTGTCAGCGACTTATTTCTGGGAGCTCGTGCGTGATACGCTCCTTTGCCTATCGGAAATTTCCTCCCGAGTCTGATTGTGGGCGTGGTGAACAATATATCATTGAGAGTTCACACTATCGGCACTATTGTGGGAGACGGAATCCCTAGGATAATTTTGGTACGCAACAATTGCCACACGCAGCCAATCACGGCCTGCGGGTTAAAAATTGTTTGACGTCTAAGGACATTTCAGCTAGGTACCTATCTGTCTGCTTTGGACGTGATTTGTCGTTCCTGTATATTTCCCCTCTACCTAGGGTTCGACAACAATTCTTTATACCGTCGTTTGTATCCATGTATAGTACAAAAACTCAAGTTCGAAAGAAAACCGGTGGAAAGGAGAATAAAGAGACTGCCTTTCAAGCGCGACTATTGCAGCCGTTCAGTTTTCGGAATCGGGATATGAGGGATAAAGCGGGTAATGGAATGCGTCCTACGGGTCTTTTTATCATGAGGTTCCGATGTTGTGTTTTCGATGGGCTAACGGTCAATTCCGATTGGGGGCGTCCTCGGGTTCGGAAAAGGGAGTTCGAACGGAGGTCATCCTGGAAATCGGGGTGTTCGCGAGGCTTGCGAATAACCCTAGAGAAAGAGAACTCGTCTTGAGCCGCAGCCCGGATCTGGCCGAAACGGAGCGAGTCGTGAGCACGACCATCGGCGAGGGAGGAAAATCCCCAAGAGCTTTCCGCAAGGATGAGGAGAATTGGCTTCTCTTCTTTCAGAAGAGCGCCCGTGCCATGATGGGGGGCTGATTGTGTTTGCATCAGATGTGCAAAACCATTATCGCGCCATATTTTCGGCCCCCTCCCGACGGTCTTCGAGCGAGCCGTTCGATTGGCGTAAGAAGTCTGAAATCGGAGAGCGAGTACCGCAGCAAAACGCACCTGGCGGGAAAGTTTTCCCACGCTCCGATTTTCTCCGAAGACCGCATTTCCGCGTCAAGAGCACCCATTCAAGCGGTATAGGATTCAAGGTCATTCTAAGCGCCGAGCCCGTCCCGGCCGATCAGAGTCAGGAATTGAGTCAGTATCCTCGCTGGGAGCGAATCGCCGGGAATGATGATCCAAGTATGATCATGCATCGCTTGAACGATTTGAGATCGTCCGGAGAATGAGCTGGCAACAAGATCTGTGGCTCGGAAAATTCGTATATCTATTGACGGCAGAGCTGTATCAACAATCGAAGCATTCCTCAAGCCGGGAAGTCTGAGGGCATCCATGAATTCTGGCTATCGATCACCTCGACTACGCAGACGGGTCCGTAGCAGCAGTCGCGATTGCTGACTTGAGACGGAGTCGGCCCTCACTGCGCAGAACCAGAGCCTGGCGATAAATGCTATGTACCTCTACTGAAGTCTTTTCCCGCAGTTGCTGACTAGAAGCTCGAGGAGAGCTCTCTGTGGGGCTAGCAGACTTTCGGTTCTTCCGGTACCAGGAAACCACAGTCTGCATCATAGGCGCCGTTGGCGCGAAATCAGTGAGAGAGACCTTGCGCCCGATTCGGACGAGAAGTTTCTAGCGAGATCAGCACGTGGCGAAGATTCATGGTTCGAAGATTCCTGATGCCATAGGTCAGCGGAAAATCCAAGTAGCAACAATGTTCGAGCGAACAATGCTCCGCAACAATGTTGGGACGCAACGTTGACAAATACGTATGGACTACGGCGATACGTAGTGCTTCCACATACGTTCGGACAGGAATAATACACGAACTCAGCCATGAGTGGCGCGGGAGCGATTTATCATTGCCGACGTCAATCGCGGTCAGCTGGCGAATCCGAGACTTACTCGCTACCACTAAATGACCATGATCAGTGAGCTCGCTCTGACAAAGAGATTCCCTGACTATCTCGGGACATCACTCAAGGTCCCTAGGGGGAAAGTCTGAACCCGGAAGCAACGACTGCTTTCTCCGATAGTTGACGGCGTGCAGTTCCAGAGGATGCCCTTCCGGGCTCCGCTGACTTCGCACAGGGCATGTTTTCATCAGGATATGATACAAAGTCGAATCCGATATCTTAGCCTGTATCCAAGATCTTGCATCGGGATACATGAGCTCCGATTCGCCGCGAGACGGATGGAATTAAGGAGATTCATTGGTGTTCGATTGCTCCGACCAGAAGCCTTCGCTTTGAGCCGAATTTCGCCTGCTCATTTCTGACTCGTGGGAAAGCGGGGCTGCGCGCGCAATGGGAAGTCAGCCGTGTGCGGAAATTGAATTCGAGTGTCGGGACGGGCATTCACGAAATCCTTGGTGCCGGCTTCCTCAGGTCTTCATTCGTATGGGGAATTTTTCCATGATTCCACTTGAGGGCTCCGCGTTCGGCCTGAAAGTTTAGACGGAGACATTCCTCTCGGACACGTGGAGGATCTGGGCGCAATAACCTTGCTTTCCAATAATAACGTGGAGTATAGTTTTCGCGAGGGTTGCACTGGCAAACGTGGGGAATCCGCTGAGGAAGAATCGCTCTGAACCAGGGTCGCCCATGAATATAATGGAAACGTGATGTAGATTGGGGCGAGGACCGATGCGCCACCACAACTCGAGGGAAGACATAATCAACCGGGAGGGATCCTCACTCCCACGCCATGAGTGGGGGAAGCGCATATTGACAGCCGGGATTGTTCACCATGAGGCTGCCTCTCCGGTTATGGGACCGACTCGAATCAGAATCCGATCTTTCAGCAATCCCTCCAAGGATTGAGTGGACGTGTCGAGTTCAATCTCGACGGTTGTCGAAAGAACTACGTCGTCGATGTATTGCGTCTGGCCAAAGACGGCCGTCTCGTCAAGGTGAGTGAGATTCCACATCCGTGTAGGATGCCTGCCCATGGACCCGTTCATTTTCAAGTCTCGATGAGAGCTTCAAGAGGTTCCCGCTTTTCTAGCTTGCCCAATGGGAGTACGGGAAAGGATTCGCAGTCGCGTCGCCTCAGATCAATCGCCAGAAAGAGCACAAAATCAATCCCCATCGGACCTACGTGATCTCCACAATTCTGGAGGAACCATTCCTCTTCGAGAAGGAAGCCGATCCCGAGGTTTATCACGCTGATCCTAACAGTAAACTTCAAGGTGAGTGAATTCCATTGAAAGAATCGACTACGGTCCGGATTGAAGTACCAAAGACATGACAATTCTTGATTGAGCCGGACCTCATTCCGAGAAACCGAATCTACTGTAGGTTACCTGAAGGATTTGGCCGACGAGATCGCCAAACTGATCGGAATCCATTACGAGTTCCACGTCACGAAGGATGGTGAAGTCGGTTCGCAGTCCACAGGATCGCCCGGAGGATGGGGAGGGATTGTCGGCGATCTCCTCCAGGAGGCAGGTTTCTAAGTTTTCCCTATTCGATCGTGGCAGCCTCCTACCTGAACGGCACTGCCGGACTCTGATCTGTTCAGGATCTCTCACTTAATTACCTCATTTGTTCTTTTAGCAAGCTGACTTCGGCTTAGCATCTCAGCCCGCCTCGAAAAGCCTCCGTGGTGTCGTCGAGTTCAGCCGGCCTTTCCTCCACACGGGGATCGCAGCCTTAGCTTCAACGAAATCGAAACCCGACTGCACCAAAGTACGCTGCCAGCGATAATCGAGATGAAGCGTCGCGGTTACGATACGCTCTGTTCACATATTTCTCCCCGTTTTCCAGATGCTCCTCACGTTCCTTCGACCTTTCGGCTGGCCCCTCTGGATCATGATTGCGTCGGCTTTCGGGATCGTATTCTTGCTGATGCTCATCTTCTCCTTATGCGTTGCACGCGCTGAATCGAAGAAAGGAGTTGAACACGCTACGTCGTTCTGTGACGATCTCTACAACTCATTGAACTTTTCCGTTGACGCGTTCACGCCGCACTACATCGACTCGTACTACGCAAGGTGATGCCGGCAGCTGATCCTCACGGCATGCACGAAATCGTCGAGATCGTCTCTGTAACTTTGGTATTATACATTTCAGATCAATCGCGGGACGTGTCATCTCGAACTTTTGGTGGGTGTTCATACTGCTAGTCTTCTCGGCGTACACAGCTCAACTGGTACCGCTCCTGAAAAACGGAAGCGCGAGCCACTTCAACCCGGAACTGACCAACGTCTCACAGCTGGCCAACCAAGATGAGATAAATTACGGCTTCGCTCGCGGGTCCCTTGCCGAGACCTACTTCCATGTGAGCTCCTCATATGGGAAGCGAACTCCATTAGAACGAATATCTTGACAAACTATCTTGCCGAATTTTCAATGCTTCCTCGCAAATTCCAGGCCCTTCGAACAAACGACTCCCTATTAGAGTCCATCGCTGAAAAGATGCGTCTCCAATCACACTCGGAACCAATCGACAGCGACGAGGAAGGAATCGACAAAGTTCGCAGCTCAAATGGCAGTTTCGTATTCTTCTTGGACTCGAACAAAGCGGACTTCGTGAGCTCTCGAGCGCCCTGCGACACATTCCGGGTTGACGGACGTCCTTTGGGGCTCAGAGCGATAGGAGCGATCCTGCCGAGAGATTCTTACCTCAAGTGAGTTTCAACCTCTTGATCCCGGGGTCCGAGATCGGCCATCGATGCTCTGTCAAGCTTCTTGAGACCCAGTCAAGCCCCGTCAAGGCAAGAGGGTTCATAAACTAGATTGATGTTTCAGGAAAGCCATCGATGATGCCATCACTAAACTCTACGAACGCGGGGTTCTGGACAAAATACATGAGAAATGGTGGTTGACGAAATCCAATTGCAGCCACAATCACCGGGAAGTTCCAGTCATGGGAACCAATATCTATCTGTACAATTTCCTTGGAATTCTCGCGATTCCAGCCGCAGGTAAAAAAAAGTCCGAATTACATCCGGAAGCGGTGCACGTACAATCAAGGCCATTCCTAGATTGATTTGAATGATTTCTCGACTTTCTCCAATTCACCACCAGGTATCGCGGTAGGATTCGTGTTTGCGTTCTTCGAAATCTGCTACAGGGCCTGTACTCGCGGTCGACGTCTGCGACAGCTCAAACGCCAACAGCTCACTCAGGAAGCTCGCGGAGAAGCTGAGCCAGGATTCTCGGACATCCGGGGCAAGGAAGATGAACAACTTGCTTGCCAGCCCGCTTTTACATCGGCCTGAGCAATTTCCCTCGCTTCTTCTCGGGTGATGTTTCGCATGTCTCCGGGTGAATGCTCCACGATTTCCTAAATGTACGGAGCTGTAGCCCGAGCGCATATAGATGGGGTGAATGAACAATTCGATGCGAAAAAATTCGGCAACATTGGCAAATAAAGTATGCGCTCTACATGAAGCTCTTCGTTCAAGCTGAGGCTCGGATCGGATTGCCTGACGACGCTTGCTCGCGGAAATTCGAAGTTTTGATAGAAAAAGTCCGCCTAAATGATTCCGATCCATGGCTTGGGCGGACCGACCTGTCGATCGATCGACCCGAATGAAACTTAATTACCCCAAGAAAACTCATGGAAATCACTGTCCCTATAATTTTTTCAAGCTTCCAAGTGATCACGGTTTCTATACAGACCTTCGAGTATATGTACAATATGCTCATCAGAGACTGAAAAGGCAACAAGAAGCTCTATCTGAATGGCGGCGGGCGCGACGCGGAACTTATTCCTCTCGCTTGGGTGAAGGGCTCTACCGATCATGTCAATAGATGCTCGAATTTTGCTGCGAGTTCGACGTTCCCAGATCAGCGAATGATTTCTGAATTATGCGGCAGAGTTCACGATGTTCGTCCTCTTCACCTGAAATCACCCCAGATTAGCCCAGCCCGCACTCCGTCGCCGTAAATCTTGTGCTGAACATTTGATGAATGCGACTCCTCAAGCGGTTTTCTTTTCACTAGTTTCACTCACCGATATCTGGCAAGGCTTTCGTGCTCTCTTGGGAATGACAAACTTTGGCAAGCTGGAGCAGCAAAATTGCGACATCCTCTGAGAGCGGCGGGAAGGCTCGACACATTCGAACCAACGACGGGAGAGCCGGAATGAACAATTGAGGCCGCCTGAAGGAATAAGCGTATCCGAGAGATCATTATCTACCGTAGAGGAGTGGGGAGTAGGGGAAGGATCCAGAATCCGAGGGAAGATGGGTTACGTACCTCGAAGATGGAAGGACGCCGATCAGGGTATTGACTACAGTTATACAGAGCCGGGCGATTGATAACGACCGGGGTATCGCGTGTTGGAGACACAAGTACGATGCTAGCTCGATTGCGAAGACCTTTCGGGGCGAAATCCATTAGGATATGGGATGACTCGGACGTCTGATCTATCATTCATTTTCAATCATGATCGGCTGATCGGTGTTCGGAATCTGACCTGTTTCTCGAGATGGGCCTGCGCCAGGAGCTCCGGAATGAAATCTAAACAGATATGCATCGACGGAATGAGTGAAACGGTCATGGGTAACAATGGGGCGGGATAGCCTTGATAGTGCACAAGATGGACGAGCTGAGGGTCCGCTATGAACATCTGATGCAGCTGTGAGCAAACCAGGGTCCGGCACTCCCGCATCGTTGATAGGAGACCTCCGTCGTCTGATCGGAGGAGGCAGATCTGAATAGAGCAGAGGAGGAAGCACATTATTCCACCCCATGTCGAGTTTTGCGACGAGAACGCCGGAGCACGACCGGTATGGCGACAAAGCTCATCACACTCAGAGACTCGCCTTCCAGGCCACACAACCTCCCAAATCAATTGAAAGAATATTTCGGCATCAAGAACCGAACGGGTCTAACCTCAAGCAAAATCTGCACAGCGGCACTCTCCTGCGCGGCGATGAGTGCAATGCGCAGTTCCTCTTGGTCGGTTGCTCCCGGAGTGTCGGGAACGCAATTTTCCAATATGTGCATACTGAGCTGAGTGCGAGACGCAGCGAGAAGTGCCCTCAACATATGGAGCACAATTTCAAGTGTCGCCGGGCATTGAAGAACTTTGGGCTCACAGCGAAGTACATGGAGGGGATCCATGATCAGTTCGTCTAGAGACACCTGCGAATGATACCCCGAGGTTTTTGCGGAGCTCAGAATTCCGTCCTCTTGAGTTAATATGATCAATCCAATCAAAACGTCCGTTGTCGCGGACGCTTACCTTCTCGGTGGGCCGGAAGGCGTTGACGGTCAAAACCCAGAGTTTTCTGGGATAAACTTGGTTCAGACGGAACCAAACAGCTTTCGCCTGGAAGGGAAAGGGATGATTCCATGCCGGGTCTCATTCGTGTAATTCGCCATCGTATCAAGTGGGGGACATGCCGGATCTCTGCGCACGAACCCGATCAATAACCTGCCGAGGAACATCAGGCTGCAGCAGGTGAGGTAAGCTCGACACTATCGTCTCCGCGAAAGGCCAAAGCTCGCAGAGGTCCAGAGTGAGAATGACGTCGAGCTTCGATGTGACCCCGACCGGACAAGAGACGACTTTCGTCAAGGACTCAGTCAGGGAGGCGGGTTCGATCGCTTTGTCCTTCTGTGAAAGGGAAGCATCGTTATCGAGGCTCTCGATAATAGATGAGGATGCGGTCGTACTCATACTATAGATGCGAACCTTCATCGATAGCGACTTCGGCTTCAGAGATGTATTCCCAGTCTCGCTGAGGAGCCAGTCCTCGGTCATACACAGGTGCGGGAATTGATGAGCGAGAAGTCTGAGGAGAGGCGCGAAGAGGCCTGCGTACTTTTTCTGTTCCTGCTGAGTCTTCTGAACTAGGTACCTGGAAAGAGCAGGACGTTGTAGGAGGCAGACCCCGCGGGAGATTATGGGATCGATACCCTCGTCCGGAGCATTTTCCCGAAGGAGGCTGGGGATCGTACCTGATCGGCAGCCGAGTAATAAGATCCGCGCTATAGATTTTCACTTTCCTGCCCTTCGACAAACTGCGTATGTTGGCGAGGCGCACATCTTCGTAGAGCAAAAGGTAATACAGCATCAGCATCGATGGTAAGGTCTCGTCTGTCTGAGTGGCTGCGATGATCTCGCCATCCGTCAGCGGTTGGTGCGTGCTTTCAACAGGTCCGAGCACGGAATGTACGTAAACTTCGAGCAAAGACGGTAGGATCGGGTGGAGAGGCGTGGTGGCCTCGATGATCTGGCTGTAGACCCAGTTCTTGATGGAAACTTTCTGCTTCGTGAACGAACGACTTTTCAGTAGCTGATAGACGCAGTGGACCGGGAGGAAGCCACTCATGTCCGCGTTTAGCTTCGGAGTCACCGGTACTCTGACCGCGTGCGCAGTGACCACTTGTTCTGTGAAGAGTTCTTGCACGAAGAGATTGCGCATCTTCGCCAAACTGTTCGGTCGAACCGCGAGCCGCATCGACAGTGTTGTGCACACGAGTTCGGCGATTGCGTTGAGTTGATTCGCGTGAAAATGGATCGCGATGAGGAGCAACAATTCGGCCACTCCCTCATGGGCCTGACTGACAAGATACCGTAGGTACTCAAGAGCTTGACGCTCGAAATCTTGGCTCGCAATCAAGTTTGGACAGGCCAGAAGCATGCTGACCGAAAGACAAATGAATCTAACCCCGGCGGGCGTTGGTTCTGTTCGTGAAGTTATCACTTGCAGGAGGGTTGAGTTTTCGTCGTCAGAGAATTTCATTCCGGCAACCTTCAGTGCCGAGTACAAGCGGAGGAGCGCATTTACTTCGACGACCGCCGTCTCGGCCAGTTTGTGGTATTCCGGCGTGTAGAAGATAACCGAACTGAGCTTCTGGAGTAGTTTCGTCCTCATCATCGATAGAGCCGTCGGTTCGAATCGTTTCTGATGTGTTCGCACGTAGGTCCCGAACCAATTGCGCACTTTCTCATCCGATCCGAGGAGGAGTCCGGAGATGAAGGCCACCAGATCCGATTGTTTGTCTGGCTGCTCAAGCGTCAGACGTACACAGAGCTCCGGCATCCGGCACATTTCCACGGCTCGAGCCCGAACCTGCAAAGCCTCGACGGGGTTCATCCGACACAGCTGAGCTAGGCAATCGACTCTCCGTTCGCTGTTGTCCACGCGATCGTTCGCATTGGCGATCAGGTGGTAGGCAACTTCAAGGAAACTCTCCGGTGAATTAGACACCACTCTGGTGATGAAGGCTGCACCATTGCGAACATACAGGAGAGCTTCAGCCATATCGGTCACGTTTAGGATGCCTGGGAGCTCTGCATGAGCTATACAAAGCACGTCGGCAACCTCGTCGACATATATGTCCATGGAGAAGAGATCACTGGATTTTTCGGGTCTGGAGGATCCCATGAGGACGATCAGCTGACTGAGAACAAGTCGGAGCCGTCTTGCGGCATCGCTCCTCTCGAACTCCAACGATATGGCGTTGTTGAAGGGAGTAACTAATACGCTTTCCGCCGAGGGTCCCGCTTTGTTCCGGAGCATCTGCTCTTTCCGAACATCCACCTCGAGTAGATGGAAGTCGATACTCAGAAGAGCGACGATTGCGTTGACGCTTTCGATTCCCGAAAGAACACGGAGGATTGTTTCTTTTTTCAGGGCCCAGTCCGGTCTCTGATCCAATGGAGAGCACAATGCCATGCGAACGAGACAAGGCAGAAGGGGACGTAATTCCCACTCGGGGAACGTAACCAAGGCTTCGACATCGACACGCTGGAGCGTGAGGAACGCTCGAGTGGTCACAGGCGATCTCAGAGGACCTGAGGTCGTTTTTATCTTGGACGACATTCTCGAGAGTAGCGCCTAGCTCACATGAGTATTTGTCTTTTCGGATAGGAGTTCCGCTTCGGTCAGCTTAGTCGATCGGTCATCTGACTCAACTCCTTGGAGAATCCGAGTTCTGGAGTTTGCCAGGTTTGACGAGCGCATCCGACAACGTCACGCCACCGAACACCGATTCCTCTAGCACTGAATCGTGAAGATCCCGAGACCGACAGACATCCCCCGTTCGAAAGACCGGAACTATCAGAAATTCGCCGGCTCGAAACTCATATTCGGGCTCTCTTCCATCGGTTTGTTTACAGGGAGACGCCGCGGTACTCCGAAGAAGCGACCAGGGACGCCGCATCGATTTCGAAAATAGACCCCGTACGTCGGCAAAAAGGCGCGGGCAATATATTTCTGGGTTGCACTCAAACGATAGCGAATTTTTCGTATCCTGTACATCGATGACTCTATGACCCGGTTGTCGATTGCGATATTGATTTCTGTCTATGAATCCCCGGGACAACAGATGATTCAAATAAGGGGTTGGATGTTGGATCTTCCGCTGTGGCGAGTGTCACCCTCTCGGCAATCGAAGAGAATCCAATGAGCAGTTTCTGAGAGAGCACTTAGGGTGCGCGCCTTGGGCACTCCTAACTCCCGACTCCTCACTTTCCCTTGGAGCGGAAGTTAGAATTTCCCTTCCCGAGATTTCTCCGCCTCCGTGGTGGTCAGGACTACCCAAGTTGCATTAGGGGAATTCCAGAAGTCGTGGAGAGAATCCCGGCTCTGAGTCGCTAGAAATCCATCTCTACGGAAGTTTGTTCTCACTCAGAAAAGACTTCACCCTTCACCCGAGCTGATCTGGGGAAGATTACGAGGACTCGATGATAGTCTCCATTTCGAGCAGTAGTTTATTCGATAGGACATCCGGGCCCCATTCCAAATCCTCTTACGCTCAATACTTCACTCCAAGAAAATCTTCATGCAAACCTCTCCACCAGAGCTCGGACCATGGAATTATCCATTTTCTGGTTGGCGTCCCGCAGGCCTTCAATAGCTTCTCTCACCTATATCCACGGAATTTTCGTTTAGCGACTTTTCGCGATCGTTCGTGATCGCTCAAGCAGATCGACAACGCATGGGATCATCCCCCAACAAAGACGGGACTTACTCGTCTTGCGAATTCCTCCGCAGACTCGGCTTCGCCGCAGTACAAAGGTTTCCCCAGGTGAGTCCTACCGGTACGGATCAGAAAACGATAGACTTTCTTTGAACATCGCCATATAATTCGTCAGTCCCGGTCTGAAGGCCGGTATGTAGACTCCTCGATTGGAAGAGTTTATTGCTTACCGCAATTTCACCGGTAGCCCACCACAAGACCATAACCAAGGCATCTTATATCGGTCATAGATCGAGATGAAGAAGTCTGAAATTGTTGCTGATTGTTGAAGTTCGTCAGAAATAAGGAGTATGGAATTCAATCCGAAATCGGAACTCATTGAGACCGCGAGCTGCGGATGCTCAGGAGAGAAACCGCAAATGATACCTTTGCAGCCGAAAAAATGTTGGCGGTGGCATTCTCTCAGGTTCTCTGTGAACATTGGCACAATTGGTACCCCTGCTTCTTTAGCCACAGAGGCGAAACCACACCGGTTTCCGAACTCCACACTGAAAAGAAATTCGAGCGCCGCTCTCAGTGTCCTCGGTGGGCATCTTGGAATCATAGGGGGTGTGCATATTGATTTTGAATGCTCAATTTTTCCACCTGTAGTTTTCGCTGAACATAGCTTCATATGTTCCCCCGGGAGCTACGCTTTTCAGAGCACCTTCTCTCAGGTCTGATATCATTTTTTGTCGACCGTCGGCGCTGAAGCCGTACATCTGGAGAATCGGATAGCATCCCTCAAATTATGGCTGATGCATTCTCGGTGAGCTCCAAATGTAGCAGATTCGAGCAGAGAGTTCCGCATTATTCTAAGTCTCACAGTCAGGATACTCCTGAGCAACGGAACGCTGAAGAGGCCCCGGTGAGCAATTCCTCCAACTCGGCGCTGCAGCTTCTCGTAGATCACACCGGTCACAAAAATCATATCGAGTGCGTGAACCCCGTGGTAGTATACTATCAGAGCTCCCTCTCCTTCGGGGGGTAAGTTCCGCAGCCCTTCAACCTCGTACCCTGCGGTGAAGACGATTCGGAAATCCGTCCATAGTAGGATCCATGACGATATGGATGAGTGATGAGGATGGAACTAGGCTTACCGTGCATGATCCGCATATAAGGAATCCACAACCATCGTTTGAAAATCGGAGGAAGAATTTTTTCAACCCTATCGTGAAGACCCAAGACGTAGAAAAATTCGCACGGCAGAGCGCACAGAACAGCAATAGGAGCGAAGAGATACGGCAATAAACTCGTGTACATCTAGGAGCGCATTGATTTGAGAGATTTCTCGCGACAAGACAATATTGGGCAACAGGGAATGCAGATTAATTATCAGCGAATCTTCCAGTGTGCAAGGAATGCTCGGGAGTGCATCGCAGACTCCGTCACGCCCTTGGTCATGTACTCACGAGTAGTGGTCGTAGATACCAGAACTGCCAGCCCCCGTATAACAAGAGAAAGGGCATGATCGTAAGCAGGAATGCAAAGCATCGGTGAAAATGTTCCCAGAATGCAATGGCGCCACATGACTCCTTTCTGGCTCTCTGGAGCATCGTCCGAGCATCCATGATACGAGGTTCCCAGTGATTCAAATCCATTCAGAAATACGAGACAGGCTGGGCGAGGGAAGAGGATTCGTAAAGCTGCGGAAGATGCTTTCGGGGCCCTGACGAAGTAATTGTTCGCAGGAAAAACTCCATCCGTCGATCTACTTCTTCGAGCATACGGGAAGAGAGAATCGTATTGGCTCCAAGAGAAGCTTCTCGATTTTCCTCGTCTTTGGTCTTCAGTGAGAGGATCGATTCGGATTGGAGTATCGCGTTCGCGGTTCATGCTTCCGAAACGAAGGGTCATCATGCGGGAAGTGGAGGAATGTTGGTCGATGGATTCGAACATGATCAAGGTGTGGCTTCGAGCCCAATTCGAGATTATATCATAGATTACTTACCCCTCCCCTCCCAAGGCGAGGCATTTACGCGAATAGAAAACGGCCGCGTTGGCAGAGTGATCAACGTGCAGATCAGCCCGCCTGATTTTCCGGGATCAACTCCATCTTTTTGGGATCAACACACGCCCCTCAAGGCTCGTAGCTTGGTCTCGGAGCTACTAGATATCCATCGGGGACGCTTGCCGGATGCCTGTCTATGAAGGTGAAATCGGTGATGACCAGGGACTCGAATTTCTTCCGCTGCGGCAGTATGGCTAAGCAAGAGTGTCGGTTACGCTGTTTTTTTTTGTATCGGCCGCAGTAGCTGAAGAACGAAGTCATAGGAACCTCTCACATTCGGAGGGACTACGTCAAGCAATTTTTCTTCCGGAAACAATGATGGACAGATTCCAGTTATCTCCGGAGGGCTCACGGGACTGAACATCAATGCGGCGCCTAGAACGATACCCTCCCCAATGTAGCGTAGCTCTTTGCTGTACATCATACGAGCACGAAGAACGGCAGCTGAAGCGAGAATACCTGGGGAAAAAATCTAAACTCGCACACGGTCTACCTGGAATCAAATAAAGACGTTCCTCATTCGAATGTTTTGCCGAGAACGTAGACTTCCAGACGCTACTTGCCAGCCTCCAGGGTGCACGCATTCGCAACGAAATATATCATTTAAAGGTTGAACAAGCTGGACGCGGAATAAGTTGCGACCAAGCACTCACCAAGTAGACGGGAGAGCGCATGGTTATCAAAACTTCCCTTCGGTCGTTACTTTTCTGAAAATTCGCGTAGTCTTCCAATAATAGTCCTGAATAATTCAGACTGGGAGCTTCCCCGCCCATCTTGCGAGAGGAATGGAAAGTGTCGCTCCCTGCCTCCCTGTGAATCAGGTGATACGTTCGAGATACCGAAGTGCGGTACATGTCTGCTTTCCGCCGCCTATGCTGTCCACGTCCACGCTCTGGGTGAAGAAATCTCCTCGGAAGGCCATTTCGACGAGATTCTTAGCGTCGGCCGTGGCCAATGGGATATTCCCTGGTTCCAGGAGCACAGAATCGATTCCGAAGAAGAACTCCGGATGTGCTCTCGCAGCAACTGAAGCTCGGGATATTGACGACTAGAGACTTCCAGAGGTCTTTCCAACAGTTTTCCACAACCCTCATCCCCTTACGGAGCTTCATAAGAGCAGCTCCAATCACGAACAAAGAAGACAACTTTGTGGAGCGGCGTGTCCTCGCAGTCGCTATGGGGAATCGCCAGCCTCCCATACTCGGTGGACAGCCGCAGATGTTGTAAATCGTTCCCTTGAATGTTCTGGGAAGAGCAGTCGGGATGGATGACGTCTACACTAGGGGGAGGGATGCAGATCCTCTGGAGTTGACCCTAGTACCTGAAGAGAATTGCACTCCAGCACCGAGCACGCCGTTTTCGACATCGCGAAGACAGTCGCGCAGTCTTCCACGGTGTATCCCAAATCGAGAGACCCCTTGGTGTCCATGAGAATGGCCCCGACATCGCCGGAAGTGGTTTTCATCCGTGACATGAGTCTCTCGTGCCCACGAAGTCCAGTCATGACTTGCGAGGGGTCGAGACATTCTGGATATTTCGTTCCACACGAGAATCCCGCGAGTGTCTCTCTCACAGCCGTACCTCGGAACAAAGTCTCCCAGAGTGTCGCTTTTGTTGCCAGGCCAAACACTCGCTCCTTCGGTTCTCAGATATCTGAGGAGAGGGAGGTCACTTGGACAAACTATGAAGATCATGAAGATCATCATCGACGGGTCTTACACTTTCATTCAGGTCGACGTAAGTTAAAACATCCGGACTAGAGGAGGAAATCGAGCAGGAAACTTTTGCCTTTCCTGAAAGCTCCAGTACTCAACTTCGCGACTGCATCAACTTATTTTATATACTTTATTTTACATTTTTTTTTCAGTATTATTTTACATACATATATGTATTATTTTATTTACATATCATAATATGTGTATATTCTCCAGAGGAAAATAGCTGAGCCAATTTGAGCTCATTCAGATCAAACTAGAGGCTTCCTCGAGCCATGAGGAGCTGCGAAGGTTTCGCGTCGAGTTGATCCCTGAATTGAAGCGGCGCGGCGGCTAGATTCGAACTATTTCCGCTTCCTCCTCCAGGCCCATGTTTGGAGGCGCGAGTTTAAGCTTAGGTTCGCCCTAGTCGGAGCCATTCCTCGAAGCCCTGCAAGAGACGATCAGATCGAGGCCACGGGCTACGGCACACGGCTGTGGGGAAAATTGCCGCCCTGCTTCTTTGTATCACAGAGTTGTCGCTGCCTATACAGTCGTGAACAACACAGAAGTTTCGATGAAACATTCGTTAAAGGAGAGTCGGATCATCGTAAGGAATCATGAAAGGTGACTGCGCAGTGGGGTGTCGGTCTATATCTCATCCAACGAATCTGCTGCTATGTCTCGTCATCCTAACTTGACGATAACTTTTGAAAAATGTGGGGCATTCCAGTGTTTGGAATGGTGTGAAGGATGGTCCAACTCCGAGCCGACCGAAGCAATTTCAAGGCCAGGACATCGGCGGCAAAGCCATCCAACTCCTCGCTCTGAAGGAAGACTTCACCTACGCTTTGAATGATGATGAACTTTCCGAATTCCTGCTCGCCAGCGATGTCAAGGATCTGCGAGTCGTTTTGGTCTCGGTGGCCGGTGCTTTCAGAAAGGGAAAGGGCTTTCTCCTGGATGTTTGTTGCAGGTGCTGACGGTCGGAGTCCCCAAACGCAGGGGCATATCCGAACTAGTCTCTTCCCGACGGGATATCGAAACCCGAATGTTGAATAACTACTAATAATCGAATAATCGATTACCATATCCTCAAGATACATGATAGCTGACTAGGCACCGGATCAGTTGGGCCCTGAGGATGCTCCGTTGAAAGGTTTCTGTTAGAAAGGTGGATGCGATAGAAACGTTTCCGGAATTCTGGTGTGGGGCGAAATATTTGAGGTGAATTTCGGCAGTCATCTCTCGGTATCTCGTCGAAGGAAGTTACATGTCGATTTCGACCTCTACTCCCAGGTTAAAATTCTTTCGAGCGAGGCAGTGGCCGTCATTTTCATGGACACGCAGGGCTCATTCGACTCGGACTCAACGGTCAGACAGTGTGCCACCATCTCCGCATTACCTTTGCTGAGTTCGTCGGTACAAGTATACAACAACTCACAGCTATACTTGCCTCGCCCATCAGAGAATATGGATACTAGCCGGAGCCACTAGCGCTGTGATGACATCGTAGTGATCGGGCCATCCATGTGCTGAAAAATAACGATAATAATTGGAGAAACACGTGTATCATGCGGAAAGCATGCATCTGACTGAGCAGGTTGAAAAGTATATCCAGACCTCACTGAGGTGATTGGGCATCGATTGAAATGAGTCTGAAGTATTTTCGGAGACGGGAAGCGCAAAAATCGATTCGGTAACAGACAGTCAGACTGACAGGCATTGCGATTTGATTCTATAGGAGATGAGGACATCGACGATGGGTTCGCAAAGGTTTATGGGAGGAATTCATTTCAGAACTAACAAGAAGACGATCTGTAACATTTTCAACTCTTCGCTGAGTATGGGAGACTCGCAGCGGCCGAGGGACGGCACGATGGCACGCCCTCCCTGGAGCTACTCTTTCTCGTTCGAAATTGGAGTTATCCATACGATGAACCATATGGAAAAGATGGTGGGAAGGAATAGCTGGATAAACGACTCGAGATAACCCGAGGAGCTCCAGCTGATCCGGCAACACATTCGGAAATGCTTCTCGTCGATTGAATGCTATCTGGTGCCTCATCCCGGCCTGACTGTGGCGGCAGCGCCGCGATTCGACGGTGGCACGGAAAGTAGGCGAGGAAAGGTGAAATAGATTTCGGAGATCGACCGTGTGCTGGAGGCGATTATCGACCAAATATCGATCGATGATCTCGTTCTCTGAAGCATCTTCGATGCTGCTTGTCAAGGAAATACTTTTCACAGACAGGGACGACGAGGGTCGCGTGCGCGCAACAAGACAGCGAGCCCAATGAACGTGAGGCTGATGAAAATGTCGTTCCTGAGCTATGATGAAATACGATTCTGGCACCAGAATACACGCGGGGACAGGGGCAACAAGCCGTCAAAGTTGGACAACTTCTCAAGGTAAAATGACAAAGTTCATTCGGTCCGTGACCAAACTTCTTCGGGCTGATCCACACAGCCAAGGTTTAACGTCCCGGGTACTGTTTTTCACATTGCTTCCGAGGACGGATCCATAGCGCAAATGTACCCAGGAGGATCAAGGCCGAGTACCTGCCTATTCTTCCGGCAGCAGGGACCGAACCCACACCGCCTCCCGCGCGAGCGGCGACGTTGCGGCATTTCACGAAGTGAAACGCACGTTTGCACGAGTAGTGACAAACGCGCTAACCACTCGACCACCCGTCGGTCTGAGACCAAAGCAAATTTAAAGACGTTTCCATGTCAAAAAGCCAGCTACGGCAAAGACGTCACTTGCAAGGAACTCCTTGATTACATCCGAGCTTACGTGAGAACTTTTGGGAGTAATGAGCTGCCCGAACCGAAGCGCATTTTGGCCGCGACGGCCGAAGCGAGCAATCTGGCTGCTGTAGCTGTTTGCAAAGATTTCGATTACACCAATATGGAATCCTCATGCAGGGGAGACAGAGCCTACGTCTCACCGGAGGAAAAAGACCCCCATCACCTTGAGCAAAGGGATGTAGCGAGACAGGGAATCCGCGAAATGGGCACTGCCGACTCCGCGAGCGCTACAAGGAGAGGCTGCTGGTAGAGATATATGAGAGTTACAAGAGCTTGAAGACGCAAAGCGAGCAGAAAAACATCTACGCGACGTGACGAACCCCCATCTGCTGGGCATGTGCCATAGTGGGGCTGTACTCCATCTCCTGCGTGCCTCCGGTTTTCCGCTTAAGTTCCGCATCGAAAGTTTTCACGTTCTTCACCGGTGAGTCAAGAAACCAATTTCATTTGCTGGGGAGATCATCAGCGGAGGAATTCCCGGCCCCCACAATGAGGGGGAGATACTATCCACTTCATTATCATTCCCACTCATGTTCTGTCCCATTTGGGGAAATCTACTCGTCTAGCCATGGCAATCGTCGCTTCGACAGCCTGGGCATACCTTCAATACAGTGGCGAGCATGGCGAAGTCGGAAAGAGGATCGAGCAAGGCACAACTGCGCTATGGGATGACGTGCGTCGAGCTTAAATTTTCTGCCATAATATCCACTTCCTTCTTCGGTTTATTTTCCAGAGAACCCTAGGGATGAGAAGATCACGGCTCTGATCTCACCGTATAAACTCTCTCAGTGTGTTGAGCCCCTGAAGCGATTGAACCCGGCTCGTATCGTGAAGCACGCTCAAGAACAGGGACAGCACGTGTTACTGCAAGCGATAAAGAATATCTAACACGATCAAGAGCCATCGACATGAGGGTATCCGACTGCGTCTCGTGGGATATTCTTCGAGCTTAAAAAAAAGGCTCTACGCCCTCCTCATTCGGGTGATCTCCTACTCAATTTTGAAATTTTCGATAACTGAAGAGAGGAGATGTGATTTACGAATTCGGTTCCGAGCGATCGCCGTAGATTGTTCAAACAGACCAAGCGTCAATGAAGGGAATATTATATTTCATCAGGAATGAGGGATGACCCGCTTGATTGGAAGAAATGTTTTTCTTTATTAATTTTCATCTTGCAATTTTGTAAAATACCCCTACTTAATATGGATGTGTGTGTGTACATTCGTGTGTATCTCCTCTGGCAGTCTGGCAGATGTCAGTGCGGCGAATCGTTACTCCCCCTTGGGGGTCTTCAAGGGTTACATGATGAAAAGGGGTGGGGTGAGAGCCGGCCGAGCAATGGGGAAAAGAGGAAGAAATAAATTAATTACGCTGAACCGGAATGCGGGCTGAGAGCTCTCAGCCGGGGATTGGAGAAGTTCTGTTCTCCGTCTGAATAAATAATACAAACGCGCACACGCACGAGTCCTTCTTCTTTCAGAAACGAAGTCGGATTTTTCATCACGATGGACTGGAATCGGGCATCTCGGCTAGTGTGTTTGGAGGGAAGGGAGGAAGGAACGAGATCGCAGGGGTTGCGAAGTGAATGAACTTCTGCCCGAGAACCATCCTCGCGTTTTCTTCGATGCATTGCGCTTGTATGTTCTTTCTGCCAAGGAGAAATGACGCGTGCGTGCAAGTGTCCGAGGTGTCTGTTCGTTCCATTCGATTGGTCTCATTCACGAAGGATGCAGGACGCCTAGCACTTGTAACGAGCGCATTTAGCCGATTTGCTATCGAGGGCACCGAATTTGAAGACTCCCATCTTTCCGGTCATCCATTGCGGAGCAACTTTTTCGAAGAGTCTGAAACGAAAACGACATTTAGCGTTCCTGTTCGCTCCATCCGGGAGAATAATGACGGCAAAGCACAAAACTCTTCGGGGGATACTTACGCGAGGAGGGCGGCCTTTCCGCGGACAGTAGAGACGGAGTCGCCCAATTCACAAACGATGCGGTTCATGCAGTCGTCGCTCTCAACGGCGGCGCGGTAGATCTTGAAGTACTTTTCTAGCCGCTCAGCGTACTCAGCGACACCGTTTGCCCTGTTGAACACAAGAAAATGAGGAATTCCATTCTTCCCGACCAGCTCATCTCAGGTCGATGTGTATCTCGGATCAATAAGGTCTAGAGAGGAATCTTCTTCCGTTTTGAAAAGGCAGAGCGGGATTCATTTGAGCAGAGATCGATTCTGGCTGAAGGGGTATACTAACTTGTTTGCGTCGTTGTTCTCAACGGATCTCTTGGTCTTCTTCTTGCCTCCCAGGTTGGTCACTGAAGGAAGGAGGAAAGCCAGGGCGCCGAGACCAACGAGGGGCATGATGACCGAACCCAATCCGTAGAATCGACTCTTGGAATCGGAGGCGGGAGCGTATGAGGGTTGGAAGGTCGAGGGGGACGCTTGGTAGGTTCCTTGAGCCGGGTATGAGCCTTGGCCTTGATACCCGGACACGGGAGCTCCGCTGCCGCTAGCATACTGAGCACTCAGTTGAGAGTCAGAGGGGAGGAGAGAACCTGTGTAGGCATACGAAGGAGAACCTGCGTGGCCTTGGTGCGACGCATATGTCGCTTGATGGAACTGGCTCGGGTAAGCAGAGTTGCCGTAGGAGGAGGCTGGGCTGTCGTAGGTAGCTTGTTGAGGGCCATGAGACGAGCCATCGGTCGCGTAGCTGGCATACGAGGATGCAGCGGAGGCTTGATAATGGTCAGCAGGACCGGACTCCGACTTTCCAGAGCTCGATGAAGCCGGGTAGTAATAGTAGTAGAGGTTGCCATTCGAAGCCGATGATTGGTAATCGCTGGGCGACCTGAAAACAGGAGAAAGAAAGTTACGGTCAATGTCGCAGTTCCGTCTCCCTTTTCCTTCGGAGTCCTCGGATATCGGCTTCCAATATCCGGGGACCCCCCTTCGGACCCTCTACGGTAGGAGCGACTCGTCCCCGGCTGCGTGGCCGTCGCAGCTTTCTGGCTTTAGGGTACGACATCACACGAGATGTTTTCCCGAATGTTCTATCGGGTTGAATCCATCAAACGAGAGTCTGATGTATGGATCTTTAATTCTGAAGCCAAATGGGTTGGCCTGTCTGAATGTGTTTACGGTGACAAGATCGTTGTGACCAAAACAAGACGCCGTAGAATCTCGGGCCGGGGTCGACGCTCCATCGACAGGTCATAATTTATGTCATCCATCCAGAGCCAGCTCTCTGCATCTTCTGCTTGCTTTTGCCATCATCGATGACTCTGTTTGACCCAGATCCGGCAATCCGGACATCAGCGAAGGGAAAAGAGAACATGGGACCAAGTAGCCAAACCGCAGCCGAAGAGGCTCGTACTGCTCTTGCCGAAGAACAAGCCTTTTCCTTTGCCTCTCGTTCCGTCTGATGTCGGTGCATTAGGGGAAATCTACTAGGGAATCTATTTCCCAGAAAAAGCAAAATCGATGGTCTAGCTTTGGTCGACCGGAGCCATGAACCACCAACTTCGCGTTAGGTACACTTCCGGAGAATGTCATGCCGATGAGGTAGGGAAGAAGCACAAATGTGAGACATAACTCATCTGCTTCAGATTACAAAGCACGCCGACGTCTGACGGAGGGACGCAGGCTGAGCAGCCGCGCATCCTGCCGCCAGCATGGACCGTCTTCCTCGGAATTTGGGGAATAAGACGATGGAGCACGAAGTCTTTTATCGCTTTTCCAGGGAACCTGCTTGAATGATATCGTGGTCGACTCTTCATGATGACAAGGCAGCGACCGCCGGAGCCCGCGAGCCGCTGGTTCGAGTCCCCGTTATTGTCGCTGCAGCTGATAGCGATATCGATGCTATAGTACTCGGTACTTGCTACTTCTTCCGTTATTTCTGGGTCGCCGTTCGGTTTCGTGGTGGTAGTTGTGCGAACTCTTCTCAACGGAGTGGGGAAAGCTAGCCGAAAAACGAAAAAGAACATCCGAAGGAACACTTCAGCTGCGAACCGGCTGCCGCGGCCACCACCGTCGTCGATAGTGTTTCTCGAATGGGCATCTGCTCTGTTTTCTGATGGGCAGACGGACACAAGAAGGAGCCGGCCGAACAGACAAGAGATGATGCCGAGCCGTAGATGGTTGGCCATTATAGTTTTTGGGGTTTGCTGCTGAATCTGTCCATCCGTTCAGCTCGTGGCTCGCCCGCCGCCGCGCCATTCTTAGGGTAGCCCACACACGTCAAGCTCTTTCTCGTCGGGAAAAAAATGAATCATCGCTACTCGAGGACGGGACCATCCGAAGAAAGCGAAAAACTACGTCAAGTTTTTTGAAACGGGGGCATTTTCATTTTCGATGATCTCGATTCAAGATTTCCCCGTCGTTCCGGTCACCACGACCGAGGAGCCGATGAACGAACATTTTCGAAGGGGGGAACACGACCGCCGGACACCTCGCTGCCACCGACAGATGAAGTGCAAAAGTCTCCCACTCTGTCGGTTGAGAACGCTTGCCTTCCTTTGCGACCGGTGGCTGTCGACGGGTAACGTGGCGTTCGCGAGCCAGTAATTATGGCCGTTGGAGAAAAACAGACCGACGACGGGTAGGCAGGAAAGCAGGCAGACAACTTGCGCCGATTCGCAGTTGGCCTGATTCTTCTTCTTTTCCATTTTCTGGAAGATCAGCCGACAGAGATTGACAAGCGATCGGCCGATATATGCTCACCGAGAACCGTCGTGCGGTTCTGGAACATCCTGACCCTTGCGATTTACGACGAGAGCGACGCTAGCAAGAGCACAGACAGAGAGCAGCACTTCGCGATGGTTCGAGGGAAAGCAGAAGTTCGCGGTAGTTTTACCTATTACTTAAAGATAGTATCGCTCGAGATTTTCTCTCTATAGTCCTTCCCCATGTCATTCTCCGGAGCTTGAGGGCGAGATGTATGTCGAAGTGGCTGCATTAATCGGATTCCGGAATCGTTGCCGCGATCGTCGTCGGTGTTGTCTCTGTCACCGCTCGAGAGCTTCCTCTTGACAGCCCAAGTCAAGTCCAATGCTGAACCAAATCAGCTGAACGAAAATTTCGTACGAAGCGTTTTTCTGTTGCTTCATTAATAACACTGCTCTGACAGACATGAGCAACAGAAAATCGACGGCAAGAAAAAAGGTGGTTGACCCGAGGGGGGCCTCGAAATTTCGAATGGTTTGGTGGTGGTGCCCCACGTGCTACGTAACAGTTAGGGGCGCCTCTCAGATTAACCAGAGGACGATCTGCCCGTTTTCGCTCACAGCGGAGGATTAAGAAATCGGTGACGTCGATTCGGACCTGTGAAGCTTTTCTCATCCGAGGGAGAGGTCGTCAATCGTTACCTATCCGCAATTTTTTCCGCGTCGTCCTCTCCGACTCAGTTAGACGATACGGGAGCGGCTCTTCACAAACGCGCGCTTGGAGCCACTTTCAGAGTCCCGCTGTTTCTGACAGGGAGAGACTGCGCACCCTTTAAATTGGACGCGTTGAGAGCCCAAGCCTGTCGGCAGCAATCAGAATCGTTCCGACGGAATTCCATTGAATGGCGGCTGCCGAGAATCTCTCGATCGCCGTTTTACTCGTCTTCTCCGTCACTGACCGTGTTCGTTATCTCCGAGTAACGGTATTCCAGTGACCCTGTTTTGGAAACCGGCCGTCGAACTCGGGCTCATGGCTGACATTTGACCGTAGTTCGACACAAAGTCGCAGAGACCAACGAGATGAACGGGTAGAAGAGCGAAATCATAAGCATTGATGCATGCACGGTCGACTAGAGTTCAGAGGACGGGACCATGGAGTCAAGCTTCTCATGCGGCGCGGCGGTGGAAACGATCTAAAGATCGTCCGATTGAATGTGGGATGGGACAGAATGTTGTGATGACTGGCTGCGAACAGCTCTAACGTGTACTTACGCGCTCTGGGAGTGAGATGGAGCCTGCTGCGAGTGGCTCGGAGAGTAAACCGGATGCTGCTGCGAGGCTGAAGTGGCGAAGTCCGTATCACCTCGCTTGCTGGCAACTTGCGATGGGGCCCCTTGCGAGGAACTTGGCGAGCTCGAAGCTGTCTGAGTGGCAGGACTCGCCTGAGCGGTCTGCGAAGCCGGCTGGGTCGTGGAGACCGCGCTCGCCGTCGCAGCAGCAACGACGACCACCAGAACGCACATAAACACCTTCATCTCGACTGAGGAGAGTGTTATTGACGACAATGAGAGGTGGTTCACTAGGAACCTCGCGCGAAGCTCAGTGACAGAGAGGAGAACTTAGAGCTACTGTCGCCGTTGTTTTCGTCGTCGTCGTCGCCGATGTCAACTTCGGTGATGCCTTGTGCAGATGGTGCTGGTTTGATTTGTTGGTGATGGTTGTGATGGTGGTGGTTCGGAGCCGAGGTAGTTCAGAGCCAGAGTGGTTTGAAGCCGGAGTGGTTCCAAGTGAAGACGAGTGAATTTCGGGCGGCGTGAGAATCGGGGCCTCCTCTCCCGGCTTCAAGCGATGTGGGTCACTTCAGGAGAGGGCGGTCCAAGTCAGGGTAACCTATCTTCCTTCCCTTGTAGGGAGAAGGCTTTGCACTCGACGGACATAATACGCTTGCCCGAAATGTGCAAAAAACAGCCGTCCCGTCAAATCCGTGATTCCCGCTAGATCGATTCAATTTCGTCAGGCATCCTGTCATGATGCCTTATCTCCTCTTCCGAATTCAAGATTGCTTATATCTTTCGCTGAAGCTCTCGATAGAGTTATCGACACTCTTCTGAGAAGAAGAAAAAAAGGCACTCGTCGCCTGGGCTGGATGAGATCGTTCCGAGAAAATTCGGCATCGATGAGCCGTGAAGACCGTTATTCGCTCCAACGTATCTTTCGCTGGAATTCTCGCTTTCTTCCGTCAGAAATTCCCCTGTCCTTCGCAAAATGTTCTCTGAAGAGATCCCGGATGCTCTCTTTTTTTGTGGAGCGAGGAGATCACGTTGATGAAGACACGCTTTAGCTCATATGGGAGGTAGGTGGATTCATTTATGTACCTATTAATGCAACGGTTCTCCGCTCAGGTAGGGCCGACTCGGTATTCTGGCTCCAAGTGGATTTAGCGCGTCTGTGTAGATCGCTGAGAATTATTTGCAACTTTCGGTGTCGGTCGATATTCTGAATTCCGAAGAGGCGACTTCCTTCCGTAATTGGATTATCTTATTCTGATTCGTTGATGGGAGGGCCTCGCTGATACGCCCATGAAGATCGGGCCACCCGGTCGAAATCACGGGTCTCTTGAAGAGATCCTAGATTTCAACGCGGAATTATTCCTTTCTTACAGCTGACGTTCGTGGGGATACAATCGAGTTTCGTTGAATTGTGCCCTCCACACCTCTAATCGACGCAAGATCCTGGCACCGTGGTGGCTGGCGGGATCTCCTGGAGTATCGCGGGATTCGCTCGGGAGCTCTGTGAGTCAGAACCCGATTATATCCCGTGCATGCTCGATTTTCCGAAACGCGAGGCCGAACTCCGCGACGAAGATCGGGAAACTTCATCGGAAGAACGAGCGGAAGCATTTGACAAGAAGATATCATGATTCTCGGCCTATGTGCTCGGGAGCTTTCGGGGAACGCGGATGGATACATGAAAACTCCCCAGGGACCAATGAAGGTGCCTTCATCAATCCTCCGCGGCGATTAGAGTCTCTTCTGGATCCCGGCACCGTGGCGTCGTTTTCGGTCAGGCCCACAACTTCAGAGACGGCAGGGGTGCCTACGCGCACGAATAAACTCGTGCGCTTACAACGGGCATACGCGTATCGTCTGTCGAGTGCGTCAATTGATAAGGCTCGAAGGCAACAATTTTGTACAATTCTCTCGACAAAGCTAAATTATCTCGATTGGAGGTGCGACCGCATAAGCATGATGAACTATTCGATCGCGATAGTCGAACTGACCAGCGAAGAGTCTTCCTCCTCGTGTGTACGGTATCCCTCAGAACAATAGTTTATTGCTTGATCGAGCACCATCGGCATAATTTACAAGAAACCACTATAGAAGAAGCACGCTTCCTAACTACGATACACACGTTTCCGAACAAAAGTAAATTTCATGGAAAGCTCCAATTAAGCGGGCGGAGTCAAGCGGACAGAAAGAGAAGGCTTGAAGACGGACTTGTGGTTCTGCCAAGGAAATCTTTGCTTTCCGCTAAATGAAGTCCGAGGAATCGGACACGATAGTCTTTGAGATATTCTGTAACTTATGATCCGTGCTTCCCAGATTTTCTTATCAGCGACTCCGTTCGCGAGAATCTGGCGAAACCTCCTTCGACAGCTTGAATACCCGTCTGCGGAATTTATACCGGGAGGTTTTCGTTCCGGACGCTTGAATTCACTCCATTTTCGAGACATTCCGAGCAGGCAGATCGAGGTTGTTCCATCGGTCTCAATCGTGACGGTTCTGAATCTACCCTACAGTGATGTTTGAAATAATGAATGCCGTGTGGTACTCGCCTTTCTATCGAAGAGATTCGAGCCCCTTACCATCCAGTTTTGCTGAACAATACCTTCTCCCGAGAGAGTTTCCCGAGAAACGGATCGCAAGATCACATGACGCAACGCAATGCCACACTTTTCGAAATCAGGACTCGAAGCCGTGAACGAATGAGGCTTCGATTCCCACAGCGCTCGGTGATATGCATCGATTCTGTGACATGATATGTAGCTTCCAGAATCACCAAGCATTCGAACCGGATGAACAATTATGACGTAAGTGGATTGAAATTCAGAACGGATGGTCTTTCCTCAGGCGTCCGAATGCGTCCACACAGGCTCTCAGTGCGGATACTCTCCTAGTGAATGCAAATTTGGAAACGGTGTACGTCATTTTTCATCGCTTCGGCAGAGGGATAGAAGGAGCTAAAATGGACGACGGAGGGCCGCGCGATATCTGTGTATCTCCGAAAATATCTCTCAGCCCGCTCAACGGCAACTCACAGCGATAACGCCTCTAGCTACGGCGACCGCGACGCATGGCTCGCTTGAAGCTTTCCACGGGGCATCTTCTGTACAGAATTTCTCCCAGTGCCAGAACCGGCTAACTAACTGACTGATAGCCAACCAGCTATTGGCCGGCTTGCCCCTCGTACGGAAACCAGATGGTCTGTCTGTTTCTTCGTACGTCAGTTAGCAGAGGCAAGCGGAGATTCTTCTTCCCAATAAGGCTTGCTATCGGACAGCCCTCGACTAATACACATCTGTGGAGCCGCCAGGCCCAACGAAGGATGAGACGAAGGAACGAGCGAGCGGGCAGGCAGGCAGCGAACCAATCAGACAACCTCTCAAAGCACATCGGCTCGGGCGGCATTTTCGCCTCAGCAACGAACGTTCAGGATTAAGTACAAAGTCGGAACATAGATCAGCACTTGTGCAAATGGTTATACGATTTTTCCTCCTCACAAGGGGAAGCCTCGACATCAGCGATACTCTCGATATTGCGAGAGGGCCGCTCTTGCCTCCCGACGGAAGACGCTCAGCATCTCGGCATCGATCGTGGCATCGCCAGCCGAAATACGAACGTCGATGAAATACCTGAACGTCACATACTACGGACGAGACTGAGCCGATAGATTTTGCGGCGGTCGCAGTGACAAAGTCCCACCGAAGCAGGAACGATATTCCCGTCAAGAGGCTTCCGCTCGTCCCACAATTGTGGTTGGAGCGAGAAGTTTTGTCGGCACCAGCGCAGAGTCGGCATACAGACTAGGAAAGAGCTAAACGTTTCTGAAAGATGCGTCACTTCTAGCTGGGAGTCGAGCGTACAACCAACCGCATTCCATGACTTTCGGCAGACTGACTAGCCCTCGGCTCGGCTTGTCACCGTCGGCATCCGAATGTCGGTCTTTGCCGACCGCCTCCTCCACCCGATGTACTGCTGCGCGTCGGAAGACCTTCCGAAGATTTCGCTTTAACGCGCTCTGAAAATTTCTAGCCGGAAAACCGCCAGACGTGGAACCGATGAGTTTGACATTGGACCAAATTCCGAATTTGAAACCGCGGGCACCATTGCTTACCATGATCGATTTCGAGGAGTGTTTGCGCGCGTTTCTATTGTCTCTGGCGGAATGCATGGATTCATCTCTCACTCAGCGCCGAATCGGCTGCGCTTCAGCTCCGAAGCACGTCCTGCTCTTCACCGACGGAACGCTCTCAGTAATCCAAGGATCACGCTTACAGATTCGGAGTGCGTCTTCGAAAGGTCGAGAGTATTATAAACGAGTCAAATCTGATGTTTCCGGATGGGCCCGCTCATCCAGACGGAGAGAGTTCCCGAAATCCTTCTAAGGTCGTCTTGGAGGTTCAGTTCCTCTCGTTAGCGGACGGTACAATGGAAGCACGAATTTCTCTTCATCCGAAACTAGCCGCAGTCGATGGAGAAGAGATCCCCTACAGAGCTCGGCTGACAAGACGCCACCTTCCCTTGAATCATGTCGCGGATCATCGGGGGATACCTAGAATAAGATCCAATCGGAATGCGATAAACTTCTGACTATTCCATCGGGCCATTTCCCAAATGAACTTCCCCGTTTCCGTCCACCGAGGTATCTAGGATCTGCCTGACAATACAATCGATTCGCAGTATCGAGTCAAGTTCGACAGATCGTGAATGCGGATCGCCCCGGTGAATCGTTCTGCAGCTTGATGGTTCCATCAAAAAAATCGGTCAGATAAGCTGTAAGAAACGATGTACGCAACAGATGTGGAGAAGCCTATTCAGCAGATCCCGCGACGCTGACTGTCCAATCGGATTCCTGCGCTGTCGGTAAGGGGTGTTCGGCGGAAGGTTCAACGTTTCTTTGCCGTACATATTCGTGTATTTCCATTGCTTGGGGCTCCAGATAACGTATCGGCGAGTTCGACTTTTCTGAAGGGTCGCAACGTCTCGAATGCCTGAGATCGCGGCTTGAAGAAACACGAATCGATGGAGAAGGCTCCGGAACGACGGTGAGGACCATCGAGCGAGGTCTACGTCTGGCATCGGTAACTTCGACTCCATTCTTCTCCATTCTCCATCAGACGGGCACTTTTCGGGAACAGAAAATCTTGAGATACGTTATTGGACTCAGGAATAATATCTGGTACAAATAGATTAGAAGCGCAAGAAGAATGAAATGATGTCAGCCGCGCCGTAGGGAAGCGATCTCACATTCGAATTCCCAATGGAATGGATAGACCCTCTCTGATAAACGAACCTGGTTCGAGTGTATTCAAGAACAGACGAGCACGCCCGTCCTAATAATGGTTATACCGTACTTTCTACATGGTACGGTATTCCTATTATCTATCATTATAGGGGGTGGTAATATTCATGCCATATTCAACTATCTCTCGTTCCGACAGAGCATGGATTCCTCCCAACTTCCAGTCCCGCGAACCACATTCCATGCAATATCGGCGAGTCCCTTGAGCTTTGTCTTCGCGTCGATTCTAGAGCTCAGATCTCGGAGAATCGTATCCTGCCCGATCAGGAATTCAGTAATCATCGAGCTCCCCTCAAAGCGCTAATGACCTGGAAAAGAATGGCGATTCACAGACGATAGATAGGCTATCCTTTCCGTTTCTTCAAGAGCAGACGACCCAGGAGTTGACGGTCAGTGGAATGACATAACCGTTGCCGAAGATCCGGTGGCCGCGTTATCGTCATCGGCCTGTCCTGACTTTCTGGAATACACGATGGATGGAATATGGAGAGACCATAGCGGGCGCGCAGAAGCCAAAGACTTCTGAACGATGACATGCTGACCCCTTTCCAGCCAGCCAGCAGACAGGGTTTGCCAGCAGAAAACGACTAGCGCAACAGATTCTGATAGTGGAAGAGGAAGAATTAGAAACAGAAGAACCACCGGGAGCAGCGGTGACGACGATGATGCCGGCAAGATCCTCGCCGACGGCGCCAGCAGCACCGACGGTTTCAGCACCGCGGCCAGAATCCGCCGAGCCTGCCGCTGCCGCTGGTTGGTACTACAAGATCGTGCTGGCAGCAGCGAAACGTTAGCGTATTCAATTGGAATATTTCAATTGAATGACAGAATACGGCGAGGCGCCGCGTCGAGAGAACAGGCGATCACCGCAGACAATTCCTCATCCGGTGGATTGATTCACACTCAGAAACGAGCCGAATCGTTCGGATCAGCCCCGTCAAGAATTGGGCGGGCCTGGCTCCTCTGATCCCGATATCTGCTCCGGTAGTCTGTGGAGTCATCCTGAGGTTCATGAATCTATCCATCTCATCTAGCGGTCTCTGCTGCGGCTCTCCAGCGTCGGATACACTGTCCTGACGAGCGACGTAAAGATATCAACGATTTCGTTATTTGCGCAACACGACACGGGGGTATAGCGAACTCGCAGTCTGTCGCCCATCTACCGCCGATGGCTAAAGGCATGAGCCCCGCACGCAAAGGCCGAAGAGGATTTTTCGGGCTTTTCGGTTCGAGACGACTCCGCCCCGTCCCTCCGAAAAAACTCACGCGAGCGCGACGCCCTTCGCGGCAATCGGTGAACCTACAAAAGGAGCGACTTCGAACCGAGGTTAGCCGAGTACTATCTGGTCCCCGTCGCCTACGCACCGCCGGAAAAGCGGTCTATTTGGTCCGAGAGATCGGCGGGCGAGCAGACAGGCATGCAGCTTCCCGCATCTCGGAGCTGATCTTGGCGGGCCACAAATGAGCCGAGTTAGGCTGTCTCCTCGGTCACCCCCAGGGGGAACGGATCTGCGGGTGACAAGATCCGCAACTCAAGTAGATTCTATAAATGGTGTGAATCGGGTTCCAATGGAAGGGATGCATCAATCTACTCATCTCCCTTCGCGTACAGACCGGACGAATGGAGGCGAAGAATCTGGGAGGCGGCGATTGAGATTACGGAACCCAACTGCTGACGATCTTCTAAGAAGCAGCATCAGTTGAGAGCTAGCCGAGAACTAAGTCGGGAATTCGGTGTCGACGAAAAGATTCTAGTACTTATAACACTTCCGTGAAATAGATCACTCTCGGGCCGACAAGCCTTCCTCCCCATCGATGCTGAATAGTGATGTGTTTGCTGGGTCAAGGACAAACTTCAAACGAGCGAGCGACCTTCCTGAAACTTTTCTCTCTTCCTCGAAGATCGAAATCGTGAATCCTCAAGTATTGAGTCGCGCCACAGCTGCGATGAACCCGACTGAAATTACTCGGCTGGTGGACTGGAGCCTGAGCCGCTATGTTGTAGCAACTTTGAAAATTCCGAACTCGCCGCCTCTCTGCCCTTAAGAAATGCGCGGGGAAGCCGAGCAGCGCACTTCTCGACGCTCCCAGAGTCTCTCGTTCATCGAAGCGGCCTGATTCTGCATCAATGCTAGCATTGAAAGCTCTCAGGGGCGATGTCACCACCTTGATGTCCACGTGACTTCGGATGACCAACATCGGTTAGGGAGGTCCCCGTCGAAAATTCCTCGAGTCTGCTGCAGTCTTGGAATTAACATCAATGCATGTGATGGCTATTGTAGCTTCTTTTCCATTTTTTAATTGATGCGTATGATTAAAATTTCCACCTAATCATAAAATCTACGAGCCAGCTCATCCATCACTCGGATTCAAGGAATTCCGATACAGACACTCTCCCATACCCGATTTCTCAGATGATGAAATATTTCAGCTTCGTGTATTCGTCATTGATGAGGGTTGCTGCAACATGTCATGTCTCCGCGTCCAGATTCAAGAAGAACAAGCTGAGGCAGGAATTCCGTACTACATAGTCCGTGAGTTGCGCCTCCACCCTGCATTGAAAGGTAATTAAAGACTACGTTGGTGGATGTCGCCTCTCGTTATTTGAGTGTCCACAGGAAAACTCTTAGGAATAAGCAGGAATGAAATGCGCGGAAGCGTAGGAACTCCGCCCTATGAGTCTGGCGACTGCACTGGAATCAAAGAGGATGTGAAGCGGCGTTTTGCGTCTACGGGCATCGGGGAGTCGGGCACCTCAGTCTGTCGACACCCTCGTAAGACCTTGAGTCCAGTCTCCTGCACCGGTGGCTTCGACTTCCTGACCTAGACCCGGAGGTCATGTTCGATGCAGAGCACATTCGTCCCTGTATCAAATGAGAGGATTCCTCGATCTATGGATTCAAGATTTACAGATGTTGGAGCCTTCGGCCTGGAGCCGCCAGAAATTTCTCAGACTCATGCCATTTTTCTCGGAATCGGCGACGACCTCCATGTTCACATTAATTTCTTGTAGGCCTAGATTATGACAGAATACATTGGGGTGGGATTGAGAGGAGTCTGAAGCGGAGTTTCCCCTTGGCGGGCATTTGGCAATCGAGTACCTTTGAGGAGTCTACGCCGGTGCCGATGGCTTCCTACGACCAAGACCGGGATCCGATACAGCATCATTCGTATAAAACCGTAAATATTCTAATTGAAGGACAGTCTCTGACATACGAGTAGTCTCTAATACACGGCCAATGTCCAATCAAAGGGCTCTTCGATGGATAGATCTGAGGTACCCGAGTCGAGATCGCAAATCTCCTCTCGCGGGTGCTTTGTCCGAGTTTTGGGTATGCTGACGGTGAAAATTTTTTCGATTCAATATAGTCTATCAATATGAGTCACCGGTCTCGATCCGCTTATTCGAGGACAGAAGAAGCGGACGGGCGGTCTGCAATTGACGGGCAGGCTTCACAGGGGTCGAAAAATAGACGGGCATGCCCTTCAATCAGAATATTTAGGGTATATGGAAAGATTCCGCAACCTTTCTCGGACATCCGGGAATCAGACACCCGTCACGCATATAATCAGATCAGGAGTCACCACAACGGAGGCGTGAGCTTCGTGTTCAGGGAATCGGATCTAAATATTGAGCGAATTTCGTTTCCTTCTTTTCAAATTGGAAACTCCGGTCAAGCTCCTTATCTCTATACCAAGTCTGAATCATCCGTGTGAGGGAATGCCGAGTTGCAGTGTCTTCCAATAAGCCCGAAAGGCTCGAGTTAGTGATGGAGTGTCTACCGGATGGATAAAGTCACATTGAACCTGAACAACTCCGATCATCACACTTTTTAGCAAAGGATCAAGCAAATCGGTCCTTATTTCTTTCCAAAAGCCCCGCTCCCCGTACCCGACTCTCGCAGCGCGAAATCGCGCTAATAATGGTTGAGCATTGGGTAGCTAACGGTAGCCCGTTTATCGCACGGCAGGCTGCTCCAGACTTCACTGAGTTCGTAGGAGGGAGATGTTCGAGGTAATTGAGAGGCATTAGCCCGCTCCCCGATTCTATGGAGTTTCGCCTGAATACAACGCACAATTCCAAGCCTGCAGGAACCCTCCTCCATCGCATTATGAGAGGGAATCGCTTGCAGAGAGAATATCAACATCTCTAAGCAATGTTTTTACTAATAAGAGGGAGCTGCACAAGGGTTTTCGCACGTGATGAAGTCTCTGAGGTGATATACTAATCAGGCTCTCGTGAGCCCAGGGTGATCCGATCATAAGACCATGGGAAGAGGGGGGGGTTTATCATCGAGTTTTCGGAATTCCAGAGTGAAATAATTCAGTATAATCGAGTGAAAAAGGATCGGGTTTGATGCAGTGGATCGCGAAAGAGTCAGCGGACATACAATCGAGCTTGTGCTGTAATTGAGCAGAGGCTGCAACGGATCATCGGAGCCAACGTGTCTTGGGTCGAAGATGGGTCGTATCTTAGTGATTTGTGGAGCGATGCTCGTGAAGCCACCGGCCTCTCCGGCCTATTCGTGCAGGAGCCTGGAAGAACGGGAGCTGCGAGGCGGGGATCCAGGAGCTGCTCATGCATTTCAACTTACGAGCGTGATGCTCGGTGAGGCATTGAATCAACTGTTAGAAGTCCCATGCGGAGGAACACAGGCAGAACTCCTTCATTTATTATGTTAATATTTAGCTCGTCGTCTCCAGATCTAGTTCCAACCTCAACGGCTAGGCTCCACATTAGACCACCACAGGAAACCGTGGTAGCAGCTGCTCGATCGAGTGTCTCTCCGAGAAGTCTGGGGAGCGGGGATGGCGAACCGGGACGTTCCGAATGCAGATCGCGGTATCGGTCATTGGTCCCGGTCTCGAGATCGAAACGACATTGAATTTAGGGTCCACATCTTCGCCTCCCCCTCGCGGGACGATCTCTAGGGAGCCTCATTCACATTCTATGGACATGCTCAAGAAAAGCAAGCGCTGGAGGATTCTCTGATAAAAAAGTATTACGTAACGTTTAATCATCTTGTATCGTTCTGCCAACTCGTTGAAGTATCAAAGCTTCCGATGAGATGGGTCTAATTCAACAAATCAATCAGACCTCGATACAATCGGTGATCTCAAACAGTGTTGCTCACCACTCAAACCGGTCGTGCCGGAGACAAACGACGTCTCCCATTGTTTAAAAGAGAGTGAACATCTTAGGGAGTATATTCTCCGTTTGCAGGAATAAACTTTCGGTCATTGGGAATGGCTTTCTGCGGAGCGATATTCTCTCTAACGGGTAATATGGTATTATTCCTTTTTCTTCGCCAAAATCCGCGACGCCGTTGGTTCGGATATCTGCTCATCGGCGAGGTAGGGTATATTCGAGCCTTGGAACACCTTCTTGCCGATAGGTTTGAATATCTGGAACGATTCGTTGCGTTTTTAGCTCTCAGCAACCGGATGCGAGCGGGTCGGAGGATGGCCTATCAAGCAGAGGTTACGAAAATTTCTTTCCGCTCCAAACGTTCCGTCGGTAAACAGCATAAGTACTCACAAAAGTAAACGTTAATTGGGCTGCTTCGTCGATGGCCTTGCCCACCTCCCGCCGTTCTCCGGTGAAACGTACGTAAGCCCATGCTGCGAAAGTTGCGAAGAGGATCCCTGCAAAGGCATAAGTGATGATCAAGAAGGTTGGAAAAGGGAGCGAATGATTTCTAGAGCGAGAACGTGTGAGGAAGTCCCACATCATTCGAAACTGTTCACACGGACGATCCAGAAGCTACCGACTCGTCAGTCGTTGGTTTTTGGTTTATGACCTAGGGTATAAATCACGGTAAGGGTTCCCTTTTTCCCAGCGTCAGGCCTATCGTTCTCACCGCCGAGCTGACCAGACAAGCTACTGGGGAGCAATTAGAATCCGATTTGTGCTTACATATAATGATTTGGCAGAAATTCGCCAGGCTGTAGATGCCGAACATCGAGAAGGTGCTCATTGCAGCGAGTGCTCCGAGGACGAGACCAAATATACACGCTGGGGTTCTTGCTTGAGCGAAGAAATTCTTCCCCTCGTTGTATTTCTGGTAGGACACGAAAGTATCATCCAAGTCCTCTAGAAGCTTCTCTAGGTAGATTTGGCAGAACTCCTCATTCCCCATCTTGCGCGTGCCCTCGAACCTCCTCTTCGCAGCGTCTTTCAGCGCTTCATGGTGTTGGAAGAGCTCACGCGGCGTGATGTAGCTCTGTTCGCCACCGCAAATTTTCTCCATCTGCTTCTTGTAGACGTCTTTGCATTCACTGATCGCATTGAGATTGTTCGCCTCCGCGGTGGCGATCACCATGTTCTTCGGTTCAGGCAGCTCGTTTCCTCCGAAAATCTCAACGTACGCGCGTATGTACTGCAGGAGCTCTTTGCAGGTGACATCCCTGCCGTTGACCTGCTTCTTGACCAAGTTCTCAGGCGCAAGCAACGACGGTACCAACTCTCCCAGCTGAGTCTTGAAGTCGTTCTCTATGTCTGGAATGAACGAATGGGGAATTCGGATTCTGAGGATGTGCAATCGCAGAACCCTGACTGCAGCGGACGAATATCTTTCCACGGAAAAGGTGTCAAGCTGGAATTTCATGGGAAACGCCGATGTTCCTCCGTACCTTTGTTCCTCCCGTCGAACTCTTCGGATGTAGCGACACGGAGGCCGGGGTGAGGTAATAGGAAACATTCAAGCGAAGAGAAACACTTCCGAATATGCTTCCGCAACACCTGGAGCTCTGTGTGCTTCTCTGAGATTTGCAGTCTCCTATCAAGGATTTTCTGTCCACCCTCACTACCGTACGCAGCATCTTTGATGTAATACCAATCCCGCACCAAAAACAGCAATTTTTGGAATGGTGTCCCTTCGAGGTTGCCTTCTTCGTAGGCCAATCGCCCGTATTCAGTGAAGAGTTGCAGGTGCTGCAGATCGTCTTCTTGAATATTCTGGAAGGCAACAGACACATTGTCTGGGTTTCGTCGCGACGGAGTGCAGGGATTCCTTTATTTTGTAAGGGGTAAACTCGCGAGCCCCCCTAAACTAACCTGAGATAAGTTGTAGATTAATGTCGAGGAGGTCATTGTCGACAACGCGAATATGGTACAGCAGTCCTTGACGGTGGAGTCTGAGTCGAAAGTGCCTTGAGTGTCCATGAATATCACAGCGAGTTCCTCCCCCTTCGGAGTTTTTACCTGCCAAGGATAGAGTCGTTTCAAGGATTCCGCTTCGACTTGCTCAAGCGCGAAATTCAGCTAGCTCGCTTACTTTGAAGACCTCATTCCAGACAAGGATTCCTGTTGTGTCTCTCTCACAACCACCTCTCCAGGTGAAACCTTGAAGCGGAGTGTCATCGTCGCCCATCCAATCTTTCGACCCATTGGCTCTCATGTATCTGAGGAGTGAATGGTTCACGATTAGGCCTGGAACGTTAGGACTCTGATGGAGCCGTGTCTCATGTTTGTCCTCGAAACATCCCATACATCTCCCCCACGTGGCCGACTGATGGCCCGGCTAAAGATTCCTGACTTCGCAGGACGAATCCTCGATTCCCAAATTATCCACTATCTATTCTGTGCGTGAGACCAGCGTGAGACGAGCGGCAAGATGTATAGACCTAGGCTCCGCGCGATGATGCGAGCTCTTTTGTCAATGTTGAGCCGCGCAAATAATATCCAAAACTTTCCTGATGCAGACATTTGATTCTCGTCTCTTCGATTGCTCGTCAGTGGTTCTTGGTCCCTTCTGAGGCCAGGTCGACAAGTCAATAAACCCGCCGCCGCCACGACAAAAAAGAGCTGTCTGACTCAATGATCAAAAAATAAGTCAAGAACTTGACATCGTTCATTCTGCGACGAGGAGCCTTCTTCGAGAATGAGCACCATGATCGTCGGAAAATTCGGCGCACCCCCAGTCGCAACATCAGGACGCTCACGGGTTGCGGTGCGATATAACTCGCTCAATGTAGATCCCTCGTATTCATAGCATAGATACGCCGGCCAGGGTACGAACCTGAGAAAAAAGTCGAGTAAGAAGCTCTTTCCTTTCCTGAAGGCTCCGGCGACCGCAACGACAACTACTTTGAGATCACGAACATCTTCCCTCAGAAGCAGTTTACTGAGCTCTTCCTCATTCAGGGTGAACGTGTGATCCTTTTCAACGGCTAAGAGCTGGATTGGTCCCGCCACAGGTCCTCGCTCAGACTGGATCGCCCGCTCTTCTGGACTGATCGACGAGAGATCTTCCTTGACAGTCATGTTGTCCACTGGAGCTGAAATGGAACGAAGGCACCTGATCTCGAGCCTAAGGATGAGGACCCCAGGATGAATGAAAATGCATCTAATCGGGCCTCGGCGGCCAAGCACCGACTCGTCGACTCGATCTGCTTCTCCTGGGTGATCTTAAGTGGCGGAGCGGGGAATCTCGGGCCCTGATGGCATGCAGCACCAAGGGACAGATCTGACGGCCTCTCCAACCATTGTCCGATAGTCCATCTGTAGCCCTGCTATATACCGCTGATGGAGTTTCCTTCCGCTTATACCGATGTACGATATCCATGAATCACAGAATGCAAGCAGAAGATTTTGGACTCGGAGGCAAGAGGAATATGTCGGATGCGGGAATCATGATCGAGAGGCGCACGATGTCGTCGAAGCTGTCAATCTCATAGAAGCGCTAAGAAAAGTCAGACCGACAGATCCAAATGGATTTTCCGACGAGCTCGCTCGCGGTTCTCGGAGCCGGAAGCTCTTGTTAGGATAAAGTTGGATTTTGCAAGGGCTCTACGCTAATGATTTCAATCCAATCTGCTTAAATTCTCCGTCCGGCCATGCGTTACTAAGCCCGATTGCCACCCTTCTCGCGTGAATCTCCACAAGGTCTCTCGTCGCAGAGTGCGAATTCTCAGAATAGCTGCAAGAGAACCTCATGAGTTCATGAGAGACTTCCGACAATGGTCTCTCTAGCCTTCAAAATCGGAACGATTGAAGATTGAAGCAACCCTCGGATCACGAGAAGTGGCTCGGGAGATTTCTCTCCGCCTTCGGGATGACATGCGCACTTTTGTTCCGAAACCCGTCGGCGTCAGTCCAGACGTCATAGATGAGGAAGCGGTCGCGATCCTAACGAAAATCAGTCCGCTCCGGATGGCCAAACTGCGCTCAAGATCAACCATGGCACATCAAATCGAATTCTACCCGATAATCACGGTCTTGACCAGCAGTTGTGGCCTGAGCCAGCGAAATTTTAATGCATTCGAATCGTGAATCGTCAGCCCTTTCGTTCCGTGGGACACCCGTCAGCCGAGTCTACCTGGAACCCGCTAGAGTTCAATACAGGCAGCCCGTGGCTCAATCACGAAGGGCAAAACATGTCGTCTCGGTTTACATCGTGATAGAGGAAATCGATCGATTACTACGTGGCTCCCAGTTTTCGGAAAAATCCCCGCGATGTTTTCGTCATTCCAAAACAATTCACTGACACCTACCGATAAGTTGGGAGGATCTTCGTGAATTCGAAATAATTGGAAACTCTTTCTCACCACTGGTCTACAAGCAGGACTACTTAAGGCGATTGTAGCTGTCGCCGTAGTAGTCGTCGTGCTACAGCAGCGGCGGCTGGTGCTCTGCTGCTGCGACCCTGCTGATCGTTGTGGTTGTGGCGATGGTAAGAGGGAAGGAGCAACAAAACAAGAATACAGACGAAAAAGGCGATTTTTTGTTTGGCAAGCTAGATGCCCGCGCCAGCCAAAACGCTTCCAAGCAGGGGTGAGCTATCGCAGGTTGCTGTCCTTCCTTGCCCTCCTCCCTTGACCATGTGTCGAGACAATGATCTCTGCGTACCAAAAACATTGATACGCCGGCGCGGTGCATATTAGGATAGAGGACGTGAACTCCGACTATAAGGGTGCAGCGAGCAATACTCGGTGCTCATCATGGATCTGATCTAATCCCCCTTTATAATCACTAATCACCCCTACCTAATCCTTATAGATGTATATGGATGAGTTATGCATCTCTGGATATGCATATGTTCACGCGTAGATTGTAGACAGACATACATGTTTAGAGAGACTCAAGTTTGGAGTTTCTAGTTCGGTTCACCGACGATCCAGATGAGGTTTCTGAGGGAAAGATCTTTTCCGTTCGTCCCTGTACTTAAACAGCAATCGACTGCTTCCTGGGACTGAGCAGCGATCCGAGAGGTAATGGGGCGAGATAGTCACCTTGTACCCTCTGTTCGAGTTCATCAGATCGTGCAATGCGAGCCAAGCTATGACGCCCAGATACAGCGCAATTCTGTACTGGAGAGTTCTCAGCATGCCCCTCAGCGTAGACGGAGAATGTCCGGAGTTCTTCCCGGTCGGATCGAGACCAAGGAAGACTCGGGGCCTCCCCTGACGGGCTTTCCGAATCGGCATGGATCCGGAGTCTGCGACTCGAAAACAGCCATCAGCGTTTCCGTCAGCGTAAGGTGGATATGCACGGAGTGTGGGCATCCTCACAAGGCGCGCGCACCAAACACAGCTCTGTCGGTCGAAGATGATTCGATGGGTATCTCTTCGAAACAGATGAATTGATTCGCGGCGAGAGTTTGCCCAAGGAAGGACACCGATCTGCTGAGTCATCGCCCGTGCACGTTCGAGGATAACCGCACCGATAGAAATGCTATGGGAGGAGGTAGTTTGGACCCTTGGTCCCTTCGGGATCCAGCGTCTGTCCGGTCCTCCTCCTCCAGGAGTTATTCCGTATACGCTATCCCCCCTCGCTACAGCTTGAATAGAATAGGAAAGTCGAGGAAGGGAGTCTATGTTTCGTGCATACATTCATGTATAATGCGGAGATTCTCTGTAAGGTCTTCCTGTCTCCCGGTTTAGGCTCGTTTGCGACAGCTGATGGCGCATAAACGATGCACCCTGACACTCCGACTGCGAAGAAACTCACCGTTCGACGACAGCGGGCTCTCTTTCGTGGATCGCTCTTCTGCTTGAGAGCACGGTAGCGATGCCTCAACCATTGATGACTTTCGGAGCCAACAGCGCTCAGACGCGAAACGAATCCGAGAAAAAACGAGGAAGATGAACGCTGTTCGGATTTTTTCGAGATCGTTATTTGTCGTTATAGCTGGCCAAGCATTTGATTCTCGCGCTGGTCTGTGTTTTGCGATGTATTCTGGTTTGAAGTTTGGATCGAGCATTTTTCGTCTGCTCCGACGGAGACCGAAGGAGAAATGGGTTCTAAGTTCCGAAAGCTTCGGTCTAAGAATCTGATAGCTTTGTCACATGCCCAGATCTCGACGGCGACATCGTACGATGGTCTGACCCTTCTTCCCCGCAGAAGCATTTTTGCTGTGCTGGAATTCGTGTGCAGATTCTGTCGTTGTCTTCGTCGCTCCGAATGGTGCTAATGATGATCTCTGCCACATTGAGATGAGGCGGGTGCTGAGCGGCCAGCGTAGTCCATGGAACAGGGCCGACCCTACTTCGAGCGTAAGGCCCGATAAAACTCCCAAGAGATTCTCCGTAGGGAGCAATTCGACGACCAGACCTCTCGGGGAGTTTCCGATTACGGAACGTTGCTCTTCAGCCGATTCGTGGACCGGTGGCCTAAACTAGGGGCTTTGGTATTTCCAGCATCGGGCTGGGAGCTAGCGATACTCAAAAGCAGCGACTACGCCCCCGCAGCTGAGGTTACTTCAGAAATGAAGCAGCACAAATCAATCAGTCAATCTATCAATCATTATTTTCGGGTCACCTATTCCGAGGATTTCCGGAATTGATTCTCGTGCGGGCTCCATGCTGTGGACGAAAGTCCGATTTTTTCCGGATTCGATTCCGATACGGCTTTGAGCTCTGTTTTAATTCCGCTCTTTCTCCTGCTCGAGCGCTTCAATAAGCTTGTCGATATCATTCCTCGGCGGCATCCCCCTCCCTGAGATCAGAGAGCGATTGCTCCTCGATGGATGGATGGATGGATGGATCGATCGATCAGGGAGACCTCCACAGATTGTATCGCTCGATGAATCCGTCGGCGTCGTGAGGATGATTTTCAATCGCTTCGTTCGGTGCTCGCCTTACGTATTGACTATCGGATCGGAGTTGAGAACTCCAGTCTCACGGAATCCCACCTAGCCAGAGTTCTACGCGAGCTTGCCTTAGACCGTCATAGATGGATCCGCCCGTGTGCTCCCGCCCGCGGCGGCTCACCACTTGCGCATGGCGACTTGAGAGGACCGATGGTGGAGCTCTGCCGCGAGAGCTTGGACGAGTTTTCTGAGAGATTCCCATGGAAGGCAAGCTCCAGGAGTCGAGGCATTAGACTTCTATATATCGAGAAGGAAGGACTATCGCTTTTTCGAGTCGGACCCAGGTACCAAACTCAGCTTCTCGGTATGCGGTCCGCTTCATGAATGGGAAAGCCGCAAGGGCTCTAATGAGCCATCGGGGGTCGCCGAGGAGCCCGGAGGAGATGGGATTGCGAGAATTGAGAAATTTCTCTGAGTGTTCTTCCACGGTGAATCATTGAATGACGGAGGATCGATACAGTTCAATTCTTTCTGAGGAAAATAGTCTTAATCAGTCGGAATCTTGCCAAATAATCGGGAACGCTCTTTGTTGACGTCGATATCGGTCCCTGTTCAGGGTGTGTGTGGACAGTCTGCTCGTCCACCCCTAGTAGTAGCTTAGGCACGGAGAGTCACTGTGGGGCACCAGTAATGGCTTCTCGAGTTCGACGCCAGGAAAATCACAGGGACGAGAAGAAATTCCGGAACCTAATCATGACTTCCAGGATCCAGAATGTGTATTCCAGAGCTTCTGGTATTTAGGTCTTGCTATTACACTGGGCAAGAAGAATAATCGCCGTTTAAGTCCCAGAACTTCAGCTACTCAGACAGTCACCACCGTGGATCTCTCGGAATTCGTCTCGAGAGTCGCATTACGAACGGAAAAATTATAGATTGAAAAGATCATTGGGATCATTCGCCTTTTTTGTGATAGGCATTGCTGTCAGATTTTGTGATTCCAAGCCTTGTGCTCTAGTCAGGAGCTGGCACTGATCGAGAGTAGAGGTTCAGACCGCACGAGAAGTAGTTTCGAATTGTGCGCAAATAGATCGGTGTGTTCTCTACCTTGATTCTTGGTCGGGTCAGAGAGATGCAAGTCTCTTCCGATTGGACGAGAAGGAAGTCACCATCAAGATTCCCCCGGGCATCACACGTCTCATTCAACCCTTGGATGTATACTGTTTCCAGATGTGGAAAAACTTCGCTAAGAGATTGACTCGCGCTTGTGGAATGATTGGCCGCCGCATCGAGCGCCGTGACGATGCTCCACGAATGCAATCCCGTATATACAATCAATTCCAACATTCGGAATTCCGCAGCATGTGGCTGTGTGGGTGGCGAGAAGGCGGCTTCGACGTGCCGTCAAAACCTTTCCCGAAACTCGCGGACATGCTCTTCTGCACCGACGCTGCCGGCGCTGTATGCCACGCTTTCCCATTCATTAAGGGTGTTCACTGCAAGGAGACTGTCTGTGTCAAATGTTTCTTCGTTGATTATCAATTATCATATCCATTGAGAATTTCATTAAAGCTTCCAAAGGCTCAATGCTGAAGGGTCCCATTTCTGACGATATTTTTGGAGGCCTTAAAGTGGCCATACGCAGCTAATATTTCAGTTCTGAACTACTCTCGCGTAGAGGATCATATGACCAAAATTTCAGCTCGATCGGTCAAGACCATGTTCTGCCAGGACATCGACAATATTTATAAAGAACGCTTACGTCGAGAACTTTGCCGGTGTCGAAACTAGTCGCTGTAACTAGCCCGTTGAGAGACGTGAATCCTCCTTCCTACCAGGAGCCATCGAGAGCAAACGCGATGTCGGTCGACCCATCATTCGAGACCAAACTTTCCATCGCCGCCCGTTTCATCGACTCCTCACATACTTTCTCCGACATTGTACCCGATATCTTCGCGAATTTTTCGTATCGGCAGCAGGCATTCGGCATGTCCATGAGGCCGCAAAACATTTTCATGGCCGACGCGCCTTTCCCAATGCTCCTAAAAGCACGCGTGATGCGCACGTTGAGATTATTCACTCGGCTCTTCTCTCCATCTAGGGAATTTTTTTTCCGTATTCTTGTAGGTCGCTTTATGTCGACAGGAGTCGCAGGCGACATCGACGTGCATCGCGACTCCCTCACGTCTTACTACCGACATAGATAGAGAAGTATGACATTGGTTGCAAACTGCCACTTTCTGAAGAACGGCATTGAATGCTTCGATGTCTACCAAGTCATACGTGTTGCCTCCCCGATATCGGTCGTATGCTGAAAGGTTAGAGCGGACCTTGTTGGCGGAAGATTGATCATTGTTATCTACTGCTCCCGGTTGAGGATCACATCTCGTGTGATAAATGCTCCTACTCTGGGGAATGGCTTGAAGGGAGGAATGCTCGACTTATTTCACCTCACTAATTTATTGGCGGATACTCGATTGGACTGAGCGTCGCGCGTGCCGTCGGCTACCACATCCAACTCTCAACTGACGTCATTAGGGCCTACGGGGACGATCATGCAACGTGCACCTGACCACAGACGTCCCTGATAGATTTCGCCTATGACGCTCGCGAACGGGACGGAGACGTTTTATCCAGGACCATCAGCGGAAGGCTGGGGATTGATCTCCACGGATGAGGACAACGCTCTAAAGAGACAACGGCGACTCAAAGTCGGCTTTCGGCTCCTGAATATTTTACGAAGGCTCCGAGGCATCGCTGTGAGCTCGGAAACACAGCTAGCAACGTTGTCGGTAGTGATTGATCTCATTCAGGAAAAATTCTCGAAATTTATACCGTTGAGCCGCCCTGATCTCACTCAACTTTTGAGCATTCGCGAAAAAAAATTTGGAGTATGTTGGCCTCCATAAATCGTGGGGGCATTCCCTGGAGTAACTCCCATCGGATCGAATGAACCAGAGAACATTTTCCACTCTCCCTGCGGAGCATGGAGCCAGGAACCTCGGAGCATAACGAATAACGAGGAATTCCGAATATCCAAGATATAATCAGCTTTTTCACTGAATATGTAGTACCTGAGCATCCGTTGCGGAGGGAATGCGGAGATAATCCATAGTAGCCGAGGCATGATGAATAACCATTCAGTAATTCTCCGAAAATATACTCGTTCTACGATTGGATTCAGTGACCGCAACTCTGCGCTCAGGAACTCTGCGCAGTACAGAGTTCCTGAATCGTTGCCTTCCCACACACGATCTCCTCCGACGAGTTTGAGAAGTCGCATTCGAATTTGAATGCGGTGTAAATTCCGCGCGGGGAGACGAATGAGGACGAGTAGAGCGTGCATAGGTGACCAAGTATATATTCTCATTTGCTGCTCAGAGAGCATCCGCGACGGTATTCCGGCAATAACTCGATCGAATGCCTCGGCGTCTGCCGAGAGCCATCGACTACACTGAGGGCATTCTACGATCCGCTGGACTCTGGGATTGAACTAGCGAACCTCCGAATTTCAACTCTTTGAGTTAGCGAAACTGACCACCGAGTCCAGGGGCGTATACAGGATTCTTTTGGGAGGGGCCGGCAAGGTTTCGAGGGGGGGCAGAATCATGATGATGATGATGATCCCCATAGATCGCAATGTACGAAGGCGGCTTTTTGGGGGGGGGGAATGGCCCCCTCGGCCCTCCCCAATATACGCTACTGACCGAGTCATCGAGTCGGGACTCGGGACCTGAGTGAGCTAGCGAAGTGGTCCTGGAGACCGCAAATCCAGCTGGACATTCGGTAGCAGAGTGTGTACCACGGAAAATAATTGCAAAATCCTCTCTTTGCGCATTTTGATCCAACAACCCCCACCCCCTCCCCGACCTCCTTCTCCTTCTATTCACCCCCTGGGAACCTATTTTATATAGCTCCCTGCTTGTCGGGGGGGCAAAGAATGTGCCATCGATAAATCAGCCTCCCCGGTCCAAAACTGAACTCAAAGCAGGTAAACTGGATTTTAGCAGGGATGGGACGAGGATCCGGGGCTGCTTTGATTGATGAGCTTGAAGTATGGATTGATGTGGGATCGTACTGAGACGGGGTTTCAGATTCACCATCTTCACTGCCGTTCATTCCAACAATTGCGATCTATATCAGTGAGATGCTGCTCTCCGAGTTGAGAGAACAGCTCATCAACTTGGCTGTCTTCGAACGTTGTCCACGGTTGGGGAAGCGTGATGGGGACGTCTCCCGATGCTGATAGATCTGGAAAGCATCAGTCGTCAGCTCGGTCCCTCGCGAGCCGAATGATAGATTCAAAGGGGGGGAAGACAGCAAGATGAGAGGCAATGCACAAACCTATGAGGGGTGGTAGATGATTTTCACTCTTCGTCTTGTTCTCTTTCTTCTCCTCCTCCTGTTCCTGCCTGGATTTCTTCCATAGCTCAAAGGCAGAATTAAAAGCTTGAGAAATCGTCAGAGCGACCGCTTGAGCAACCCTTTTTTTCGAGCACAAGAAGGCATGACATTCCATCAATTCGTTCTTGTTGGTCGCTATGAAGGCAACGACTCTGTCATACGTAGCATCGGCAGAACAATAGGAGATCCTGAAAAGCATGGGATAGATTTGAAAGAGGGAGCACTCTGGCTTTTATTCGAGTGTCTCGCAGAGACTCCCGTTAATATCGATCTACTGAATGCCGCCCGCAACAAGCGATTAAGCTTATCAGCTGGAGTGCAGGTCCCGGAACAAAACCAACAGAGGCCCCTGCGAGAGACGAGTTGACTCCAGATGAAATTTTCATGGGATGTGCCTCTGATCTGGATCTCACATTTTCATTGCCAAACTTTTTCTTCCTCGGTTCCCCATAAATCTTCAATCAATGATTGCTAAGTAAGACTAATAATGGATTATGGAATAGCTACCCTCATTCTCCCGAGCCGCTGTGCTACCGTACCTAGCCTTTAATCCGTCTGGAAATAACAACGGGGAGGCCGCGTTTGGCAACAGAACACGTCCTGTTTTGCGATTCGTTGTCATGAATCGCGTCGCGGTCAATGTCCGCTTCAAAACACTGCGTAATTCTGTCAGCTTGGTGGCCAGCCACAATCGGACCGGCGCATCCGGCCGTCTAGCGAGTCGCAACTGGTTCTGATAACGTGTCGCGTTTCGGACGCGAGCTAACAGTTCTCTCCACCTTTCCTCGAATCCTTGCTCAATTTGCGTCTCCTGAGGATCTCTGGAGAGCTCCGCAGCAGATCACCGACTCGACACTGCAAACAGGGATCGAAGAGACGATCTAGGGATCAGGCTTACCTGTAGATACTGACATCGATGTGAACATCCTCGGAAGGCATCTCTCTTGTTTGAATTCCCTTCGGCGAAATGGTCACCGCAACTTTCTTCAGCTTGTTCCCTCCCGCTTTTGCCAGTTGGATAACTTTCTTGATAGCTTCTGCGGTCGATGCTTCACCCTGATTCATAGGAGCACTTGAGATATCGGGGTCAAAAGGGGGTCATAAATCAGAGTCAATATCCTTTACTCTTTCTTACTTTCGCGTTCTCGACGAATGTTGACCCTAGATATTCAAGGTAAAACGTCATGCCTTCCTGAACGGGTTCTTTTGCTCCCGAGCCCCATTCTTCCGAGAGCTCTGCAATGCCATAGGAAGAGACTATTAGGTGGTGTCATGGCTCAATAAATTACGGCTTGCTCCCACAGGACACTGACGAGCGGGAAGTTCCTGCTGAGGGTTCGGGAAGCGTTCGAAAATAAGTGAAGCTTTTCCGAGCTGTCATCATTTTCTATCGAAGCATCCAAGATACTTCGCATGAGTGATGTGGGAACTGAAGAATTCCTTAAGCATCGACTTCGTGATGGGAGTCGACTATGATCATCGTTGCTATGTACTACCTGCTCTCTTCAAGGGTTTCTTCACTCCTCCTGGGAAGGGTTGACGGCGACGACCGTCTGAGAAAGCTTCCAAGTTCTCCCCCTCCGACTAGTTGCCGACTTGAGACTTGAGAATCGTCAACGGCAGCGAACGGCCTATCTTACGGCGAAAAGGAGGATTGAGCTGAGCCAATAGGCATCAGAGGAACCTTGACGCTTCTTCCGGAAGTCTCTCGCCTCGAGATGTCACTTTGACTCAGCCGCAGGGCTTGGGACAATGGGTAGATTTCCGTTCACCGCATTGTCTAGGACGCAGCAGACGAGGGAATTCTTCATGAAATGATCTCATAAGTCGCATGCCAATCAGAATTTTCCTAAGAAGTTCCGACAGAATCTTCTCGGATGAGACGCCGAAGCAGATTTCGGCGCGTGTAATGAACGTTCGTTTTCTGGCCCCTCACCAAAAAACTCGTATGAAGGTCGATCATCATCACCAGCCGTCAAGAGACTTTCAGTTTTTGTATCGCTTGTCGAGAATAAGAGGGAAATTCGAATGAGGGAACTGAAAATTTTGTACGCCTGCGATAACCGATCGCTGAAGTCGAAACTCGAGCCTTTCCCCGGATACAGTATAAGGTGGCAGCAAACTCGTGTGACATACCACAAAATCGTAGCGGCAAAGCGCAATGAAAGATATGAGCGGTGTACTCAGCAAGCTATGGGAAACCACTTTCTGGCTTGCTTAGAGAGTAGGTCGCTTGGATTCTATGTCTCACGCCGCACAAAGGGTTGCAGCTCTCAGTCGACGGCCCGCTCTTTTGTCTGCCGCAATGGACGGGGAACGAGTGGAAGTCTTTATCCCTTCCATTCACGCTGTTCGTCTCACAAAACTGACGTCACCTCAGGAAACGCTTCCGTGGTTTCATGCTTCAGTGCTCGACGCGGCGTTCAATTAATACATTCGGTCTTCCCCTCGACTGGAGACAAACTCTGATCCGAATCGGCTGCTACTTATCCTCTCGAGAAGAATCAATATCTGAATGTCCCGTCCTCAGAGTCCATGCATGACATCTTATACGTTTCAGTAGCGATTCTCTATTCAAACCGTGGAATCCGCGATGTTTCCGCAGAAGCACAGAATCGAATGGAACTCTAAAGGACTTCACGGTGCCGAATGAAATGAAATCGTCCGTATTCTGGAGTTCGACGGGCGTTCTCCGTTTCCTAGTCCCACTCACTTTTATGCTTCCACTTGCCGAGGATCCCTGACATGTTCTTCCAACTGGAAGACATTCTGAAACTTAAGACCCGGCAGTCAGTTTCGTCCACGAAATCGAGAGATGTCGCTGGATCAGATCCAGAAGAGATGGCTTGACGCCTCTCGTCTCAGTGGTGGCGAAATGAATACGAGCTTCGAACCTCATCACGGAAGGCAAGCACCACTACTGAGGCGTTCTCACTATCCAGAGAGATCAACTCGAATGTGAGCTACGACATGACGCTGAACTGTTCCTGCTCTTACTTTTTCACGGCTTATGTCACAGCGTTGACGTTGTTTTCCTAATAAGGACTGGGTCACCGACAGATCGGACTCTCTCAGCAACACGAAACACTAGTCTTCACACCACTGACCGCTGGCAGCGAATTATTTGTTCAAGCATATTCCCGACGATCCTATATTGGAGTCAAACTTCTGTGGCGGCACTGAGAGCTCGCTCGCACTCCTCTCGGGATCTCTCTGATGATAAGTCAGCGAGCCAGCGAGTCTGTCAGTCACTCTGTTAGTCAGCCAGACAGTCAGAAATGGTGGTCTTTGGCAGCTGGAGTCTTCTGCTCCATGTTGTGTGGTAAGGGCTCGTCACCATGGTAATGCTCTGCGAGGGTTCCACGATCACCAGCGTGTTGCTTGAGGGGTGTTGTGATCGGGATCCATCTACATATCGCCGAGGAAGACGTTCCTCGAGCGGAGGACTCGCGACGGAGCGTCGCGTATCACCGCAAGCCCTGCGGGATCCCGGAGCTACTTCGTGGGCCCCCCGAGTTGGTCAGAAGGAGGATAGTCCATTTCCGCGCTTACTCCTTGATCCCTGCCACACTCTCTCGTTGAATCGCCTTGACTGCGAGTCTTCGCTCTTGGAATCGACGTGTGTTTCTTCAGAGTGATCCGTTCGGATCGAACGGATCTCTCTGACTACACTGCTTCACCCTATATCCGCGCTATCATTCTGGATGACGATCCGAATAATTCCAAGGAGTCGAAATTTGCTAGTGGTCGCGTGCGCACTGGGCGCTCTGTACGGATCTATCTTCTCCTCGTAATACTGGCGACTCAGGAACGAGTCGCTCAGTCAGAAGGACGAAAATCTCCCGCGTGGGCCTCAGAGTCATGAATCAGAAGCCGAACGGCCGTCCCTGGGGCGTCGTGCACGGTTCCGGCGGAAATAGTTTGAGGAGCACCCAAAGTGGATAAACATGATGTTCATATACATGGATGAGGTCTCATAATGAAGTCTTAGCCGACCTACAGTCCTCGTCCTCGACATGGCTGAGTGTCAGCTTCTCGGATCTCTCCAGTATGCGGTCCAGCGCACCGACCATATGAACTCAATCCACAGGTGGGCGAGCATTGAATTCATCATGGCACACGCTCGTTGCAATGAGTGGCTCTGAATCTCGAGAGATAGACCTCGCGGTTCCTTGGAGCTTATCGCACAGGAAAAAACTGGTGTGTCTCTGCGATACCCGTCTACAAGGCAGAGCGGGGTACTCTTGCCGCGTCATTCTCCGAGGTTCGCAGAGCTATCAAGGTAGCCCTCTAGGATTTCACCAAGGTGAAAGGACATGAATCGATGAGGGCTTGAAACACCTTAATCGGGTGGTAATGATTAAGCGTATTAGAATATAGGCTTGCTCGGAGAACAGTGAAATACGCGAATGCTCCTTCTCGATGTTTGCATTTATCGGGTCTGCGCGGAAACCAAATCGGAGTGCATGATTCGTGGCCCCGGCTCCCGATCGGAAGTTGAACATCCTTTCAGTGGTCATCTCGGCCCACAGCTTCTGCTGGTCTCTCACTGCCTCGTCGAGTTGCATGTTTCTTCATGGTGTTTCGAGAGATCCGAAGGAAGCGTGAGTTTCCATCGCTAATCGTCTTCGTCAATGGCCGCCGCAAGATGCTGAAGGCTTGGGATGAAGGGGTACTCGCGCGTATTCGTCGTACGAGCAGGGAGAGCTCTAGCGGCGTAGCCCCCCCTTTCACTGAGGGCCCCCTCTTCGCCCATGATTGAAGCGCTTTCTGATGTTCAGAACCGGTAATTCATGCCTCGTCTATGGAAAAATAAAAGGAATATCCAGGACTCCCGTCCCATGAAGACGTACCTGTGTTTAGGCTTCGCAACCGCGGTCATTAATCGCAGCTGCGGTTTTTCTCTAACATGGGACTCTAAGGGGGACAGCGGATAGGCGCAATCAATAAAAACGGTTTTTCATGAGATATGCGTTTTTTTGCAAAGCCTACCGGATTTTCATATAAAAAGTACATCGTTAAGACATAAAGAGTGCATGAGCTGTACTTGAAGCAGGTGCTCTTCGAGATTTCCGCGTCAGGGACTACACATGCTCCTCCTCGCTCACTCCCCTGATGAATGCCCGAAGAAACGTCATTTGACACGGCAATCATCCTTGTCCCGGACGATCCGTGAGCAGTAACTCAAATTTCGGGAATATTTTTTCCTATGGAGGACGCTTCTTGGACGAATCCGCAATAGGGTCGATAATGTGAAGCTGAATCAACCTTGAGGCCTCCCTTCCAAAGCCCGACTTGAAAATCAGAGTCTCCGCATCCATCGTCACGAGAAATACCTTGGCGGGCGAAATGACGCAGTTTTTTTCCCGGCAGGCTTCCGGATCAAGAATGGCTCCATTATTCCCGTCGCCGCCGCAATTAGTGCCGCACGACGGAATCGTCCTTGAGTAATCAATGCCAGATGAAGATACTTCCGAGCGCCGAATACCTGGTCTTCCCCGTCTTACTTCCATGAGAACCGATGCGATCTTCATGTCTCGTGATCCTCTAGAGCTCCGAAAAATAAATTATCATGACCTCTGTATTTTTTCAACGTTCACGTCATGGATGGCGCCCCCTCTCCCTTCATCCTAGATTTGCTCTCTATCCATGCCTATGACTGACTTTCTCGCTCTGCAGAACGCTTTCCAGAATGCCTCCCTCGAGAGAATCATGCCACAACCTCCATAGAGGACAAGAGGGTATAGGCCAAGTACTCGAGAACATCTTTCATCGATTCTCTCGTTAGGTCGGGTCCGGGTCTCGTATAGATACGAGTTTTGTCGCCGACTACGGTGAACTTGTTGCTTCGAGAGACACCGTGAACTCCGTCCAAGGATGCAATCTGACCCGAGGAGCTGACTGTGGCTGCGGTGAGCCTCGACGTACGCGCTCTCGAGAGTCCTTCTCCAATCGATGGCGGAGCATTCAATTATTCAGGAAGACTGTCAGGTTTTCGATGGCACCCGGGCAAGTCTGAGAGATTGAAAAAAAATGCGGTCTTTCGAATGTACATCGGAACCTTTCTGAGGCTTCGCAGTGTGGTGTTCTGGACTCCGCTGGCTCGATGGAAATCCCCGAAGAAGAAGAACGTGTGAAAAAAGACAGCTGCCTCGTTTATTTCATTGGAATCATTTGGCGCGATCCTGAGAGCGGTGATTCCTACTCCCATCGGAACAAAGGAATTCCGATGAATTCCATCAATCGTGGGGATCAATAGAATCGTATTCCGTGCGGAGTTCTCTACGTAGGTAGCACTCTCGCGCTGATGAATCGGAGGCTTGGCGCGTCTCGGACTTCTGGCACGAACGTGTCCTTCATAGAGTATGAAGCCACGACCAGGGTTCGATCGAACCCCAGAGCTTGGCGAGCCCTTGCTCGAGCCATTCGGACTCTAAATATTCAGCCTACCTAATCAGATCAAATTGCTGTGTACAATGTAATCAGTGTACTCGATGCGATAGCAGCCCAGAAGAACGAATGTGGAGTCACGAAACCCCGCACAAGGTTTTTGCGGGACCTCAGTTGGATCCCGCACAGCAGGAAGGGTTTGGTGTCCCTGCTGTAGGGCAATTCGCCAGGTTGCATGATATAATATCGGGACGGTCAAACGGGTGACGAGACGGTCGGAGGGCGCCTACGCGTAGTTCCAGCAACCAACGGGGATCTACCGGGTGTGCACTGTCTCGGGCTAACTTTATTTAGATTCCTCTCTCCATGAAGATGAATATGGAGAGATATGATATCGCTATCGATGATTATTCATCGTACAGGTCTGTGAAACGCGGCCTTCGGCCGCGCCCTCACTCCCCTGGGCCCGAACGGGAGCGATGACGGAATGTGTGAAAGTAGGAGGGTGGAAGGGGACGGGAGGAGACATTCGCAGGTCGATTTCGATGTCTCGAAATCGCCTCGGTCGAGATCGCGAAGGGAGATATAGCATAGCGTAGGTAACCTTCATCGGAAACAATCTCCCTCCCTTTTATCTTACTTTGGAGCTCTGATAAACATTCTGAGACTGCATTCTGAGGGGGATGGGGGTCATTGGAGGAAGGCAAGAAAGGAACGAGCATTTGTGAGCGGCGAAGAGGAAATAAGATCATTCCCTCCTCAGAACTCAGGGTGAGTAATGCACTTCGCCTGGTGCAGTTCAGCAGAAGATGAACCTCGGTCAAAACACACGGCTCTCATGAGAACCGTGTCCTTCGCCTCGATTTCATGGAAGTTGACGTCTGACTAAAGCGCTCCGTTCAACCCCGTCGTGATATCAGGGAGAACGGCAAACCGGTTGTTGGACGGCGTTCCTTCTCATCTCCGATTTCTTAACTGTGATTCGAGCGAAACGCCAGACGTAGGGTCCTCTTGAGTGAGCATCCTCACTTTTTTGTCTCACTTGTTCTAATTTTTTTATCAAGGTCGGTGTGGCGATGGTTCTCCAGAGCGACTCCAACTGATTCCGGCGGATTCCGGAGCGGATACCCAATGCTTCAAATGATGCGAGACCGACTCTGCAGGAAGTCTTCGGTCACGGCGACCGTCCGTGCAACAACGGCTGCCCGGACTGCGTGGGTGAGTCGCAGCAGAATAACTACCCTCAGGAGCTCGAATCGAAGCCTGTTTCAAGCGAGGACGAGATAGAAGATATCTCGAACTGCATTTTCGAGGCATTCAGCCATCATACCTTCGTAGCAACAGCTTACCGGGGTGCTTCGATTCGGAAACGTAGGGAGTCGCAAGAGACTCCCACATCCCTTTTACCGTCCCCGGCTTTCTCACCGCTCTTACCACTCGAGTCTCGGAGACATTCAGAATCAAGGTTAGAGCGCCAGCGTTTTCCCCCTGAGCAGCAAACGCTCCTTTCGCGAATCGTCGCTCTCCACTGCGGCCGCACCATCTTCAGTCACACAGCAGTCATGAGTTCGTGAGCTCCGAGGCAGGCTCTGACCTTCGATTCCCATGGCAGTGGAACCCGCTCATGAGAGACCTTCCACGAGTCCTCTCAATGAGTCCTCAATATATGGTCTCCCGATGTTAGCGCTTTCATCGTGTAGGGACCGGATTGGGAAGTCTTCGGGAAAGAGGGAAAGTCTTCGGGAACCCCCAAAATATCCTAATCAACCAGGGACTTGTCGGATTACCTGAAATGGATGTACTATTCGTGAGGATGCACCCTTCAGATGGGCCTAGGGAGATGAGCCAATGGCAGCTTCCTCAGCCGTAGATTGTACGTAGATATCGGAGGGCTGAGAAATCTTCGATCTGATTCTCTCAGTGTAGGAGCATGCTCCTCCTAACACACATCCAGTGTCTGCTTCCCGGCATTATATGCGGAGATGACGATTCTAGAGGACGAAATTTTCTGCGCAAATTCAGCGCCCTCTCTTGAATGCTCACATTGCTCCAACAGATGTGCCCAAGGTAGCGGAATGGTACGCCGGCATGCTTTCGGAAGAACTTTCTGTGAGACCTTCCGTCCCATTCTTATTCCACTAACAGCCATCATACTTACGCGGTCTCATCCGATAACAACTATCTATATTTCTGAGTTACATCGTCCGCCATATGCTACGAAAACCCCCATGATAAACAATGGTCATTGCTTGAGAGAATATCTCTTCAATGGGAAACTTCTCGTTCAGACCGCGTTCCTCACAATTCATCATCATGCCTGCGCTGTTGCAGATCGGCGACTGCGGTAGGATTCTGCAATATCCGGAAAGTATGCACTCTGAGATTCGCGACTCCGGGCAAGAAGGGCCTCGCGAAGTCCCGAATCCTGCGGGAATGCGACGTCCTTATTCCAGAGTCCAAATCTCGCTCTTGACTTCAGCACAGGATCAGAGAGTTTTGGCCTTCAGCTCGGAAGAACTACTGCGGAGCACAAAGCGATCGGAGTGCCTGAGCTGCTGTTTGCGATGGGCCAGAAGCTGTGCACCAAGCTTGGCCGAGCTTCAGAGCTTCCCCGAGCTTCCGTACTTCGCGGCACCCTCCACGCCATTGCAAGTCGCGAGTGCAGAGGTGCGACCGCGCACCCTCGCTCCGAATCATCCCCGTCAAACGTTCGTTCGAGCTATTCGCTCAGTGCTTGTTAATAGATAACTTGAGGTGAGATAGGAAGCTTGCCGTTAATGCAAAATCGGGAGGAATACCACTCTGGGAATCGAATCTCGAGCCGTGCTTCAACGGCATGACAATCTGCCGAGAGGAGCGGGATGCACGTTCCTCTGTTTGGAAACAGTTCCTCAATAGACTGAAGAGTCTCTAATCGTTCGCCTGACCGCCTCGCGGCCTTGCATTGGACGTCTGAGTTCGAATTGTCGGGAAAACCGAGCATTCACTGAGAGGTCTGAATCTGAAGCATTCCGGGGCGGGAGCTCATTCGAGCCGTTCTCTCATTCTCTTGGTTGGCGGCTAATCGACCTCAATACTATTTGTCGTGTATATTACGGAGATCGTTACCGTATCGGGCAGACGTTCGCAGACGTCACTAGTCTCTATATTTCCGGCGAAGCGCAAAAATCGGCGGCACGAAAACGCAACTTCCCGTCCATTTCCAGTCCTTCATGTCTTACTAATTATTGTCTACTCTACCATTCCGAACACCATGTACGGCCGGCTCGACGGCAGACTCTACAGCGTGCCGCGGAAAATTCTCCCTACCTCTCTTAGGCGTCGATCGGTATTCGAACACGACGCGAGTGGGTCTGGGATGCAAGACGATCGTCTAGCGCGGTACACCCACGGATAAGTGAAGCGATCGGGAGTCAAGCCAACGCCGCGGATTCCAATGGGAGCTCCCCATTTTGCAGATTCGATCCAGGGAAAGAAAATTGCCGTAGAGAGAAAATCATGATTCGTCAATAATCACGTGCTTGCTCGTTCCCACAGGGAAAAACATGGCGGCTGCATTCGCTGCGGAATTTCTAGCCAGGGCCAAAGAGAAAGCACCTGTCATCGTGGAAACTGTGAAAGCATATTGTCCAGGAGCTTGTGCGGATGGCTCTGGTCCTGGCGGTCCCAGCGAAGGATCCGGTCTCAGGAGCGGAACGGAGATGTCCAACTTCCAAAAGTGAGTTCGAGAACTATTCTCCGAAAGCTTCCTGTTTGACAAGCCCTCTTTAACGCCGGATTCGCCAATGTAGCTACACCGAAGAAGGAGGATACGCGGAAACTAGCCTCACCAACGGGGCTCGTCTGGAGCGACAAGGGAGCAGTGTAGAAATCGACGAGTTCGGGGGTAAAGGGAACGAACAAATCGACGAATGGCAAGCAGGCTGGAACGTCACCAACGCGATTCAGGTATATAGGCTTGCTCGGCTCGATACGATGAGGATTTTGAAACACGCAGCTCTTTGCTAATGTTGGTCCGAATCCGCAGGGCATGTTCATCGTGAGTCTGCCCTACTCAGTTCAACAAGGAGGCTACTGGGGAGTGTTCGCCCTCGTGTTCGTGGCCTACATATGCTGCCATACTGGAAAAATTCTGGTCGAGTGCCTCTACGAATACAATGACCGTGGCGAACTGGTTCGCGTCAGAGATAGTTACGTGTCAATCGCCAAAGTTTGCCTCGGCAGCAAATGGGGAAGCCGATGTGTGCATTTCGCTCAAGTGACCGAGCTCCTAATGACCTGCATTCTCTACATCGTTTTGTGCGGCAACTTGATGGTCGGCTCCTTCCCCGAAAGTACAATCGACCAACGCTCGTGGATGATGATTTTCACTATGGTTCTGTTACCGTGTGCCTTCTTACGGGATCTGCGGTCGGTTTCCATGCTGTCGTTCTGGTGTACGATGACCCATCTCTTCATCAATGTCATCATCCTCGGTTACTGCTTGCTCTGTGCCGGAGACTGGGGCTGGTCGAAAGTCAGCTGGTCGATCAATATGGACAAGTTCCCGGTGACCATGGGAATCGTCGTCTTCAGTTACACTTCACAGATCTTCTTACCATCCCTCGAAGGGAACATGGTAGACAGGAGCAAATTCCACTGCATGCTGAATTGGTCTCACATCGCTGCGGCCGCCTTCAAAGGTAAGCCGTCGTCCCCTTCGCGAAAAGGAGCAAGCCCGATGATGCCCGATAATTCCCAAAAGCTTGCGGAGAACTACCGAGTTTCATTCCCATCCCATGCTCGCTCAGTCTTCTCAAGTCGTTCCCTCCGCAGCCATCTTCGCGTGGATGTGCTTCCTCACGTGGACGGATCAGACGGAAGAGGTGATCACGAACAATCTTCCGACTCGGGGCTTCAAGATCGTCGTCAACCTGATTTTGGTCGCGAAAGCGCTATTTTCCTACCCGCTACCCTATTTCGCCGCTGCCGCCCTCCTTGAGCACCAGTATTTCAGAGAGCGACCGAAAACAATCTTTCCCTCGTGCTATTACATCGACGGCGAGCTGCGCGTATGGGGTCTAGCGGCGCGTATAGCCCTAGTCCTTTCCACAATGTTGCTTGCGGTCTCAATTCCGTATTTCGCCCTTTTGATGGGCCTGATCGGGAGTTTCACGGGTAGGTCCATTAAGCCCGAGTTTCGCATCCGATGCTCACCTCATTATAATTGACGCTTGTCTACCCGAAGATCTGTGGACCATTCTTGTTCCCGTCTAGGTTCATTGACAGATGGGATTCTGCTTTCAGGTACGATGCTATCCTTCATCTGGCCCTGCTACTTCCACATGAAATTGAAATGGAATCAGATGAATCATCAACAGATCTGCTGGGAAGTTTTCATCATCGTTTTCGGGGGATTCTCCGGAATCATCGGAATCTACACGTCGTTCGCTGGTTTAGTGGAGGCTTATCATCTACCAATGCCTCCTATACCAGTTCTGAATGAGGCCTGAGGACGCAAAAAGCTTTCGCAATTCCGGCGTCCTACGGGCGTCTCTAGATCGCCACTTGATTTGGATGAGTGAGCTCGGAAGCCAATGAGATTCCTTACTGAGGTTGTTTCGAATAATTAAGTAGTACGATTCTCACTCGGAAAACCTCCGAGGATTTCTGTTCTCGTTTCTTGGTTGTTCGCGACAACGATAGATACCACTCCCGGCTGAGGTACAATGAAGGAATCCATGGTCGTTGTCGTTCCCTTCGCAACACTTTCAGATTGAGTTGACGTGGGAAATAGGTAGATTCCCGTTGATATTTCAAAAGAGGCTCTCAATTGAAGCACCTACCAGACATCGCCTATTATAATGTTGCGGTTCCGTGGGGGAACAAACATCAGTTGCTACAAAGGATACAGATGATTGCCTTCGGTTGCAGGGCATCTGCCATAATCTGCGGCTGGAGCAATCGAATACTTGATTTGTACATACGTAGCTGTGATCTTCGATCTGAGTGAGTTGCGGTTGACTTGGTGTACTTTTTTCTCTAATGGAGGCTGAAGTTTCTTTCGCAGTTCAGTTGGCTGGCACTGTTTCTGGTTCCGGCGACCCGTCTTCATTAGCCGAGGGTCGCCTGCCGCTCCAAGTGCTGCGAACCGCTGCTTGAATCCCGTGAAAGGCATCGTAAGAAGAGAGCGATAGAACGATTCCGCGGCTCTCAATGTGGATCTTGAGAGTACCCGTTCTCGAGCGTCGATACTCTGCCCTTGAATGTTGTAGGTATTCTCGGAGAGCTTTCGTCGCGCACGAACGATCCAAAGCTGACGGAGATCATGGATGAAATGGGGCATTAGTCGGGAGCTCCAGTCATACCATTCCATGATACACATACAATATATGAGTGCACGACGTCTCGAATGGAATTCAGAATTCAAAGCGTGATCACCTTATAGGAAAGACTGGCTGATCAACTCTTCGAATGATTGAGGAGTCGGTTTTTATAGCAGTCCGGGAGCCGAGAGTGAATGCGGAGAAATTCATCACTCCCCCCACATTCGAGAGGATTGACTCGGATCGATTCCAATCGAACACAATAGACAGTGCATAAGCTACAATACTCGATCAAACAATTGTCTCCGGCAGATTCACTGCTCCGATGATTGGATTTACAAGAATAGTCGGGCAATCTGCTCAAGTCGATGGAGATCTCATTGTCTATCATTATCCAAGATTGAATAGAAGTTATAGATGAACAGTAAGGTGCGCAGCAGTTATCAGGAGAATCATCTGATCTGAGTTAGAAGAAATTAGATGATCTCGCATCCTGAGAGACGGTATGATACTGAAAACTTTGGATCATCCAAGGCAAGAGAACAAAATATGTCTTCCAATCCGGATCCGGAGGGGTGGAAGTTTTTGTGGGCTGAGTCCTCGCGAAGAGGGAAGGGCACGAATTCAGTTGCGTATCTTGAGTTCGGATTGAAGAGATGCCTCCGTGAACGTACGTACATCTCACATTGTAAAGTTTTCAACCTCGAGTCATCCTTGAGAGTGGCCAAAGGAGCCTAACCTTCACTAGCCCGCAGTATTCTAGCATCTTCATTCCTACTGTATTCGGGGATCTCCACATTCAACATCTAACGTGGAGGACAAAACTCGGATCATAACAGTCGACGAATCCGAGACTGCCAGCATGTTTCAAATAGGAATTTCCTCAACCCCTTTCCCCGATCCTCGAGTAGAGAAATTCCCGCTGAGTATTGAGCGAGATGATTGATACGAGCCCAGTACCGTTCGGAGTGCTTCTGAAGAAGAATGAAATGAAAAGTGGATCAGAATGATGATGACGGCACGTTCATCGAGAATCACAATCATATAGACATCCGAGGAGGTCACGAGCGGGACTTTCGGGGTGTCGTCGAAATAAGCGAGAGTGCGTATGAGGGACAGATAGATAGCACAAGAAACGAGTTTTTGGAGTCCATCATGTCTTGATTTGAATTGTAGTGCCGAAAAGTTGAAGACGGTTTCGTGTGCTGTCGCGTGAATAAACTGTGTTACTTTGACTGAGGAATCACGTCGCCATCCATTCAGCAGAAATGCCTATTGTATCCCTGTTCTGGCATGCCCCGGCGGTCAGCCAAAAGATCGAGATGTTTCTGAAGAGAACATGCTTCCACTAATCCAGGTGGAAGACGTATTAATACTTCGGTGACCGATCCCCAAAGGGTCAAATCGAGAACACGGGGGTTTCGATCGCTCTGCCCCATTGTTCCCCACTCGAACCATTGCACCGGAGCTCGCGGTTGACTCAAGTACCTCATCTGAGTCTCCACTAATCATTCATATTACATTCTACAAGAATCATGTGGGATCATGATTTCCTCCGTGAGTGAAGCATCTATCGGAATCTATTGCGCGCCTTTGTTATCCCGTGATAAATTATTCGAAGTTCTCGGTATTCATGGGAGGATTGGATTCAGCAACTACCGAAGATTATCCTCGAAAGGACCAGAGCCCCGAATCGAATCCGGCTACTAGCTACCATATGACGCCGGGCGTGCCGAGCAGACGCTCGGGGTCTCGTCTTAGTTGAGGGAACAATGATGTTCGAGATTCCCTGGGATGATCCTCTGGGAATACTGGGAATCCTCGAGCAAGTGACCCATGTATTACATGGCATATGCCGATGCATTCTCGAGACTTCGCTGCCGTTGGGCTTTTGCTTCTTTGGAGCAATTCCCATGCAGCCTTTCGCATTCGCTTTCATCCTTCTATGCGCTTCGAATTTTATGGGCGGCTCCGACTCCGATCCTCGAGGCCTTATGAGAGGTGCGTCAGGAGATATCCCAAATTCTATCGGAAGTCATTCGGAATCGTTTTCTCGTTTACTCGTGCACAATGCTTTGACACGTTTTTCAGGACACGGCTCGCTCCTTCTCGGTGCGTTGCTCGCTCGATCCGTCGTCTACTTTTTGTCCTTCGTACAGTACAATGACTATGCGCCTGGGGTCCCGAGGAACTGCCGCTGTGACGGTACGAATGATGCATCGACAGTGTTGAGCGGAGTCGTCAAGTGGTTTTATTCGAAATGGGCGGAAAGTCTCGAGTTGAGAAAGATCGTGAGTTGTGAGTTGTGAGTCCCAACTTCATTATTTGTTCGTTGTATCCGGATCGGCATTCGGTCCCTGTTGAGGTGCCGGTGTCGTTGTCGAGGAGGTACCAGGAGAGAGGGAGGACCAAGGCTCCCGAATCCTATTCGTGACATCTCTACGCTGGGGAAAAGTTAATTGTTTCCTTTATCCCATTCCCCAGCTGAAATCAAGAATGAGCTGTCGAAACAGATTTTGAAACTCCGCCTCTTTGACTTCAATTTCGGGGAACTGAGGCGTATCGCCCTTAGCGCAATGCAAGTGCGCAACGTGGAAACACATGCTGACACCCAGCGACTGAAGAGTTTTTCAATGGATTTCAAAATTGACTTCGAAGGCAGCCTGTCATTGACGATCGCCGGCATAAGGCAAATCAAAATCGAACTCAATGCAAGTTGATCCCATCCCAGACTCTCGATGAACTCCCACCGAGGTCGATCTTGAATAATCGCTTTCTCCTGAAGCAGCTGCTGAAGTTCGAGGGTATGGCTCGCCTACACGTGGGGCGCGATCCTTGTCCGCACTTCTATGTTTCGTTCCATTCGATGCCGCTCTATGTCATGCCGACGAGGTCTTCCATGAAGGTTACCATGATGAATCTGGTTATGTACAGGAACGGTATCGAATCGCTGTAAATTTACTCTCGGAAATAATTCCTCCATATCCAATGTCCAGGGAACCCGCAGAATCATTAGAGCAGCCGCGAGGCGAGCCATGCAGACAGTACTCAGAAGGGCTGCCATCCTGCCGAAATTTCGTCCCATATATGTTTCCCCCTTAGGGAACTCGAAATTGTTCGCGACGCGATGCTGCCTTGCGTGGAGCAGGGACATGATCGAATCTTCTTTGCTCATAAGTGTTGATCGTTGTTGGAATGTCACACCTGCGCCGAACTCGGTAAGCGCTCACCGCCGTAATACTCCCAACGAATTTTTCTCCGCGAGGACATAATCCGCAATTATTATACGAGCATTCGATAACTTTGTTCCATGAACTCCAACAGAAGCTCCAAGTGCTTTTGCAACTCTCCTCGACCCCTTTATTTGACCTCAGTCAAGCGATATTCAAGCCTCCGATCAGTTTCCATCTGAAGGCCTTCATTTCCGATGTTTCACCTCTCGGCATCGTCTTGGGCGCACTCATGGCGGACGACGGTGAGGCTGTGGAGATTCTGAAAATTGCCAAGGGTTCTCGGTTCGAAGACATCCTCGAGCCGAAGGACCGAATTCAAACGGTTAACGGGAAACCCGTCTTGGTAAGCTAGGCCTCGATCTTCGCGAGGGGAATCGGCATGCATGCATGCATCCATCCATCCATTTGTAGAAGCGGGAGAATCACCTTGAGCGTAATACGATCGATCGATCGATGGGCTTGTCTACAGAAGGTTCGCGACGGGCACGAACTACTGCAATGCGCTATCGGTCCGGTAGAGATAGAGGTTTTGAGGAATCCAGCTTTCCACTGGTCTTGCAAGAAGAGAAAAATGATGCCAAGAGACTCAAAACTCAAGTTGCATCGAGACCTCTACTACCAAAGCCACCTCGACAGATGGAATGAATGCAGCGCTGAAAGTGAGTCGATTTTGAATTTGACTTTGAGCTGCTGGAGAGCGACCTATGGGCTCATCGATGAAGTGAAGAGGATTCAGTCTCTCCATCGGAAAGTCTCTCATTTCGAATTCCTACTCTGTTCCTCGTTGTCAAGTTCGAGGCAAACTTTGAGAGTATTCCAGAATGCACGCGAATTCCACTTTCTTGGGCCGAAAAGCATATGAGCGCGACAGGGCATCCTCCGTTTAGAACAGTCCCGTCGTTTACGATGGCCTTCTATGAATCATTCAGGATGACTCTAGCCGAGGGTTACTCGATAATTAATGTAGCTGTCTTTTCGGTAAGTCCGCCTATCCCAAACAGTCTCACAATGAAGCAGATCCCTTCGTTCAGCTGTCGCTACACTCCCGATTGCAGATATCCCAGAATTCCGACAGCGAACTGCTGAGCTTTGCCGCGATCCCCCTGAGCCTAGTCCTGTCGAACTGCTGCAGAACGCTCTCTGGGCGAACGTCTCAAGTGAGTACATCGAGCTGAACTTCGACGAGCATTTCTCCCGTCCATTGAGTGAAGCTAATCGGGCTCCCTCTCTATGAAGATCGTGCCTCTGCTCAATCCACACATTGCTTGCTGGAGCTTTAGACCCGGAACGGAAATCGAAAAACTATTCGGAAACTCCGAGTTCGATCCTCGTTGGTGCCACGGAGAGATCGAGATGACTTTCTCTTGGAAAGCGATTGCCATCTAGAGTCGGAAGCTTCGCAGGGGAATGAAGCACAGCAATCGAGTCGGATAGGGCCCTGATCCTGCCAGCCTGGGAGCTTCGAAGCTCTGCGTCAGCGGTCGATGGCGATCTCAAGGATGCTAGCGATCCTCTCGATTCGATCCTCGGTGACTCCGATGGAGCTGTCGTCGGATTCTGAATTCGGGGAAATCGGCTCCACAATGAAGCCTCTCGGACATGTCGGCTTCCATGATAGTATTTGTCAACATGTGTACATCAACCCGCCACCGTCAAACCATGTGAATACCTTCAGGAATTAGCTCACCATAAATCTGGACTCGAAATTTATTCAATCGTTCATGGAAACCTGGGATTCCTAGCAGGAAGAGAGTTTGAGCACTCGACTGGCTCTGAATTGCTGGATGATCCGCTGACCTTGTGGGAGCGGACTGAAACCCCGCTAAGATAGGGTGGTGATGGTCATCGATTGAAACAACGGTATCAGGATGATTAGCAAGGAGCTCGCCGCTGCTCCGCAGGCTGTAGAGGACGCCTGTAGGGCGAGGATGGGATCCGACGCGTCCGTTTAGGAAGAGCCACCCGCAGCCTCAGCCTATTCGGGAGACATGGCTAGGCCCTGAGCTAGTCGCGAATGAATGATTCAACCCTGATCGAGCTGGCTGGGGGGGGGGGGCAAGAGCCAGTTTCGTGAATCGTGATGGAACCATCGCAATCGTCTTGTCGCGTAACTGTCCTCCATTGTCCAATTCAGCGAATTTCAGAGTGCCATTCCCCAGAGTTCAACTCCCAATGTTAGACGCAGACGTTGGGATGCGGGCGTAAGGCGCACGGAGGGGAGCGTCAATATTCCCGATTGCACAAGAAACTGGATGGCGTCGATGGCTTCCAGAGTTCGACTCGAGGGTGGTCAGAGATTCGAGAGCGGATCATTTCGATACTCAGCCGCAATTTCTGTGGCGAATTCTGGTCTGAAAGCCCTACGCCACTTCCCGTTCGAAAAACATGGTTCCGGAAATCTTAGTGAGATGGCGCCACTCGTCGCGTGCTCCAGGATCGTGAGAAAGGGCTTGGTGCGAGAGAGCAAGGGGAGCCGTGCGTTCGTCCGTCAAGCAACAAAACACGCTTCTGATTCAGAAGCATCCAACTACAGAGTAGAACGAGGCGGAGAGAGCTGTGTCGCAGTCCAAGTGGCCGCCGCAGCAGAAGCAGCTGTTCCGAGGATCCAGCAGAAGACGCGCGTCCGAATAAGTTTGCGGATTTATATTGAAGTTCAGCCGACGGCCTAGGGATGGAGGTGCAGTGCGTGTGATTTGGAACATAGGAGAGCCGTTCGACTCGAAGCCGCTGTCGAACAGGAGTGCGACGACCCAGTGGTTTTGTGATTCATCGTCATCATGATGAAAGGATACGTGCTATTCGTAGTGATCTCTCTCGCATTCGTCGCTCACTCTCAGGATACGTTTCAAGGTGCGTTACGATCAAAACCGGCAGAAATTCTCCACTGTGATCCCGGTCCGAGAGCATGGAGGCTCACGTTCCAGCGAGGTACTTCTCGATTTTCCGAACCCGCGCGGCGATAGTCCACAAACTCGGCAAGGGAATGATTTTTTTTCCAAGGATCGGCGTTTCCGGCTTCGCGTTGTTTCCTGAGTGCGAGCTTCTCGGTCAAAATCCCGAGTCCATGACGGTCCATGAAATTGCACTCGGACAGATACGAGCTCACGCTGCATCTCGCTCATTCTTGGAGCAGCAGAAAAAAAACTCCTCGTTCGCCGGCTTCTAAAAACCTGCCATCCATCGCGAATGTAGCGGACCGCGCTCGTTCCAAACCAGAACCGGCCTGGCCGTGAGCGCGAATGAACAAATGTCAGAGAACACCCGCGAATTGACTCCGGTTACTCTGCACCGTTCGTTCCATGATCGTCACGAGAAACCACCGTCGTCGTCACGGACCCCAAATTGAAATTATCGATAATAATCATATCGTTTGCCCGTCGACTTATTCACCCGTTTGCCTGATGACGCTGTGTGGCCAGAGCCGGCTTCACAAAATAGCGAGCTTTCCTGTCTCGAACGGACCTTTCGCGCTTCATCACCTGTCCTGAGTCAGTGATTGCTGTCGTCTGTCGTCTCGTGAAAGTTCGTCCGCCTCGTCTTTGTTCCGCTCTCTCGGCATGTGTTTCTTGTCAATCCATGAACTTGAAAATAGTCTGTTATCGATCTGTAGCGAGCCCATGGAATCATCGAAGGCTCCCCTCGATTGAGACGGCTCGTAGGCGTAGATGTTTCTGGGAACATCTTCTTGGGCAATATGTTGCTCGAACGTACCGGTTTCTAGGTTGCTCTCCTGTCGTGGCTGCGGTGCGCGCTCCGGTCGGCTTGGACGATCGGCTCGTTACCCGTCACTTTCGACGGCGACGATATGGGTTAGCGTCTTCATCGTCCTCCGATTCGGCGCCGAGGGTGGGCTCGCCGATAGTATTCAGTCCTGCGGAATATTTCCGTTGTGTATCCGTTAGCGTTTTCTTCTCGTTACTTCTCCGCTGTCCGATCCTGGCGGACGCCGCGCGTCTTGAATATCTACGTAGTACGACGACGGCGAGACTCGCTTGCTCGGCGCTTACCGTGGCCATTTGATTCTACGTTCCGTTTGTCGCCGCCGTCGTCGTCTCCTCGGTTTCAGAAATGTAAATCTCTCTCGTCGTCTCAAACCAACGCGACCTTAAGTTACATTCTTGTTCTTCGACGTCGTTGTTTTGCCTCCGTCCCCCGCCATGTCTGTCGGTGGTGAGTCGATGGCTTGCTCGTTTCAACGGTTGCCAACAGCACGCATACATTTACTAGACGAGACTCGAAACAAGCCATGCTGTCACCGACAGGCAGATTGGCTCATGGATACTCTTCACCGAAGGGAAAATGAATTCTGCTCTTGAAAAATCTATGCGACCGTTTCACTCCGAGGAGGATTCGATTCATCCGCTTCCTGGAGATTCCTAGCGGCGGAACCAACGTGGATACATAGTCGAATCGTCATACGACGATGCCTGCTCGATTCTGATTTCCGCTTGTGGGCGGTGCGGGAACGCTGGCCACGCGAGGAGGGAATTTGTCTCGGACTCAACAAGATATCATCGAACGATCCGCTGTGATCTGTCTAACGGTACCAGTAATCGCGCCCGGTGCGCGCGTAGCGTCGTCGTTCTCGTGTGGTCGCGTACCGTTCCGCCGCCGCTCTACCGACGATTAGCCGATTCCGGCAACACATGGCATCGTCTCCGGCATCGAAGTCTCGGAGGTAAGTGATTGAATGCCGGATCTTCTGCGACTCATGAATTGATTGTTCCGAGCGGCTTTCGGTTTGCGAGTGAGCTCGCAGATTCGACACAAATGGCGCGTGAAAGCACCTTGGTTGACTGGTTGCTTCCTCCATTGGCCAAGCTCTGACTCAGATCAGGTAGTCGGTCGGTAGTTCGGTCGAACGGACGATGGGGAGTTGGCTAGGTGGATTTGGGAGACGACCATCCATTATAGTTTGCATACTACCCCTTCTCCCCCCGGTGTCTTCCCTCGCTAAGTCGTCTGGCCCGGTCGGTCGAGTATCTGGGGAAACTAATGGTGTGAGCGGTTCGATCCGTGTGAGCGCGACTCCGGCAGGGTGGACCGCCAAGATGCTCGGCTGGCACTGTTTACATCGATGCGTATAGCCGGCGGCTAGAAGAGTTTAATGGAGCGCGCGTCGAGCGTGGAACCTCATTCACTCTCAAGCGTCTCGGAATCGGTCGAGACCATGGGCGCGCCCTGTGTTGTCACGAACCTGATCGGCAGTCAGTGAGGATTGCTGAGCAGGTTCTCCGGCGAAGAACTAATTAATCAAGAGGGAGCGCGCTATCTCTCGTGTTATCGATTCGCCTGCAGACAGAGGTTGACGTTGGGATCGACGTAGGCGTGCCATCGCTGCTGGAATATGCCGCTTGTTCGGCTACCGAAAACACCAAACTCACCAAAACCGACTCTAACGCTTCGGTCAGACGCCCGCGAACCGACCTGATTAATGGACTAATCCATTATTATTGCTTTTAGCTATCAAGCAATGTCGACGAGCCTGGCTGGCCGGCCAGCTAGCCGGCTATCTACTAATTGTCACTAGCTCACTGACGGGGAGGAACCTGGCGCGCAGAGCGCTGTCTGCGGGAGAAGCTTGCCTAAGGCTCTCACAAATCACTCGAAATCTATCCTCTGCCCGTGTGTGCTTTATATTGCATGCTCCTACTCGAATCACTAGATGCGGTCCTCGTCGACCTATAGGGACTTTTTGTCGCTCGTCCGGAGCCCGCAGCTCCGGCTCTGACGATATCTCAGTTTCCGTGGAGTCTGAAGATTCAAGGAGTGTCTTCGAATGACCCGTGCGCTCGGTCTCCTTAGCATAGACGATTCGTTTGGGCAGACGCTTTCAGACGGAGCACAATCATTAGACTGAGATAATAATGAAAAGTGCTGGACGTCAGACGCGTCACGTGCTTCTGCGTCCTGGAGAACGATCAGGCTCGAGCATGGAGTCAGCAAACATATCCCGAAGAGAGGGCGAAATCCTCCGAATGCAACTCGAGTAGAAGGGTCGACAGGCGAGGGCAGGATTTCGGCAGATTATTGCCAAAAGAAACAGGATGAAATCGATGGTGCTAGGATCTTACCCGAGGTCCCACCATGACTGAAGTTAGAAGGTTTTGAGCGTTCTAGGGAATCGGATGGACCAGCCACAAGCTCGAGAGGCAAACGGTGGTGGAAGACGACACCATCGAGCCGAGAGACCTCCGCGAGCCGTAGGGAGGCTCTCAATGGTACCTGCTCCCGCGGTGAGCCTTGATAGGCAGCGCTTTCCATTCGCCGAGCGAATTCATTGGGAAGCCCGACAACATGACTCGGTCCTGGGAGCAGGACGTGGTTCATCGTTCTGATTAAATATCGAATGCTTGAATGCTACCGCGAAGAACGATCGCCGTGAGCTCAGATTTCATGCATCCGGTACGGGAATCCAGAGTGAGCCTCCCTCTCGTCATCACTGTGTTCTGCCTCCAAACTCCTTCTGCCGGGATTTTTCCTGGAGCATCATATATGTACAGGATCGGACCTCACACTGGAAGGGCATGCCTTCTTTCGCGACTACTGAAATCATGAATTTCCATGAAGATTGACGAGAACGGGGCCCTGCTGAGCTTCGCCTTTGTCAAGACCCAGTGGAATTCCGTTCCGCTAGACGGGCTATGGCGGCGTCGAAAGGTTTTGAGCGAAGTCATTTTCAAGGGAAATCGACCGCTCCTCGATCGGGGAATGTCCTCGTCGGAATAACGGAGGCACTGTTCGAACGCAAGGCGACCGATGCGGAAGAAAAAAAATCCTTTCCGAATCGGTAGTTGACCGAGATTTATGCGCCGCGTAGTACGAACCAGGTAAACCACAGACACACGCTTTAGCCCACTTAGGGCATGCCTTTTCCTTGGAAAAAGGGACTTCCCCCCCCAACTTACCAGGCTCCGGCTCTGGAAGGAGAAAATTATATTGATACTATTCTTCAAACACCGACCTAGACAGGGAATCGAACAGGGAACCGGTCTCCCTATCATTCGCCATCTCTGAGCTCGGGGAACAGCGGTCAGTTGCGGCAATCGTTGCGTCTCGCTCTTCGATCCCGACCGAAGAATATCCGATCGGAGCAGATCCTTCAGAGACTACCGGGTCCATCAATGCAGGTGGAGCGATACGTGGGTCCGAAAGCACCCTGTCGGTCAGTCTGTAAGTGAGTTTCAGGCTCCGAGCTGAATCTTTGGAGCGAGTCCATTCACCACGGGAACCTTACATAGGCAAGTCGGTCGCTTCTTGGTCAGGCGGGCAGACGCTGGCAGGGTCCGTTAATCAGCGTTATCTGGACAGGAGTTCTTCTTCTCCATCCTCACAAGAGCCGGCTGCGAGAACCACTCATGAGCAGAGCCGATGGTGAGCTGCTTTAATCATTCTTTTTCTGCTGCTGCGGTGTTTACCTTCTTCACAGAGGGACGAGGGAAGAACGACGACGTCCGCCGTCATCGTCTCTGGAGAATCAAAGTCCCCCCCTTGACCGGCTACCGAGGCTTCCAGCGGTCGGTCAAGTTGCTCAAACAAGCTCTCGATGCACTTTCACAAAGTCACGATATGCATTTCCAAAGGGCGCGGCGAATGGATTTCATCTCATCCAAGGGTGTTCTGTTCAATCGAATCCGCAGAAGCGTTGAGCTTGAGTCAATGCAGAATGGAACGACAGACAGATAATGAATAAACGGCTGGATTACCGAGCTTCGATCAGATTTATGCAGGATATTCATCATGGTGAAATTCACTCAGTGGATCGCAGCTCGTCAGCACGTCAGCAGGTGGCCAAGGGAAGCCCTGTCTTAACAGGGCTTCCGAGAATCGCTACGGAATCCGCTGGCTGCAGCTCAGACGGCGATGTCGGCCGCCCAACCTATCTTGGTTGCAAGAGAGCTACCCAGGAAGCCAAAGTATTCTCCCGAAGACTTGTTGTGCGGATGATACTACCACGGGGGCTACCGAGCGGGTGAGGCGGCAACAACGAATAAGGTGGGGTGAGTTCGGCCAAATAGCCTCTATTAGGCTTTTCTTGCTGGGCCTGTTCTCTTATATTACCCACCAGGCCGAGTTAGCGGAACTCGTGGCCTCCTCGGCAACATTGCATGCTTGGTGGGTCCTCGGGTCGTTCGGTTTTCGTGAAATTGCTTAAAAGAACAGTCAGCGACTCCTATGGACGAGCCGGCTTCTGAGCGAAGCAGGCCGGTCGATTAAGCAACAATTGGATTAGGGAACCGGTTCACAATGAGCGCGTCCATCGAAGCACTGGGGCAACATTATATGAGCAGCAGATCGAAGTTGCTTTCATTGGCTGTCGTGAGCCGTCATGAGAAGCACAGTGTAGGCGTTGTTGGCGCCGCGGGACCTAGGCCGACGATCATTCACAACGACTCGACTTTGCGTGAGCGCTGGCCGCACGAGCGGAAATATAACAGAGACACACCTGCTATGCTTTCCGAGTGTCCCACGTGATTACGCCTGCGAATTCAACAGAGGGTACTCTCCCTCAATAGCGGAACCTTTTCCCGCGTGTTTCGTTTCCGTTTGTCGGGAATCCTTCCAGAATGAATGGAGATCGATTCTCGAAACTGCTACCGTTTGGCAGCCACGTCTGATTTCGGTCCTGAGCTACGAGCACGCTCTCCTTTTGTGATGACGCGTCAGAAGAATCGGTAGCAAAAAGTGAGGGCCGGGTCACTTGATAACAGGAATGGAGGTTGCCGAGGAAGTTGCGAGCTTATTGCCGCTTTCCAGAGGCCGATCTCTCCCGATTGATGACGCCAATTTCCGGTCTAGCTTCCGTTTTTTGGCTTCTGAGTGAATGCACATTAGAGGGAGAGCGCTCCACTCGGGTCTTGCCCGCTCTGACATCGGACCCCATGCTGAAACTTTGCCTCAAGTAGGAGTTTATCGTCACATTCGCTCTGTGGGGAGGGGTTAGGCAAACATGGAGCTGGTATGCGGTGCAAGTCAACGAACATCCCTAAGATAGAATAAATTTGTCCACAAATCGGAGCTGCTTGTCTTCGACACGGTGTGGAAGCCGACGGGGGCGTGGGTCCTTTTCATAAAGACATGAATGCATTCACGGAACCGTTTGAGGCTCCTTGTTGCATGTGTCGGAGTCGAAGTAGTTCTGTTCAAAACTGTGGGTAAAGAAACAAGGGGTCGTTGAACTGTGGATTCGAGATCCACAGAGTGAACGGACGTTTCGAACTGTTTGTCGAGCAACAGTAATATAATATGCTGATCAATGAGAGCTTACGAGTTTCCGAATGTTCAGAGGAATTTCCGCGTCTGCTTCGACCTGTGATTTGTATCTTCCATTATTTGTCACCTTCGCCTATGAGAAGGATCTCTCGGAGGCTGCGCTCGGAACGATTCCCTCTCCGCTCCCTAAAAGCAGCGATCGAACGTCTTTTTCGACCCAAGCGAGAGGAACGACTCGCCCGCTTATTTCGCTAGATCGCCCCCGGCCACCTAAATTCGCTCTGGCCGCATGTTGTCTCTCCACCGAGACTTTTCTCATCGTTCCCGGGACCCGAAGCCATTCTTCCGATGAGTCGATGATGAGTGCGAAACCGGTGGCAATATTCTTAATCTAGTGTCTGCCCCAAGTTCGCCACCAAGCGAGCTTACCTCCCTCGCGTACCCATCTACCTGGAGTAGGTTGAG